CTCCTGCCCTGTCCCCCAGCTCTGGTCCCCCAGGCCCTCCTGCCCTGCCCCTCAGCTCTGGTCCCCCAGCTCTGGTCCCCCAGGCCCTCCTGCCCTGCCCCTCAGCTCTGGTCCCCCAGCTCTGGTCCCCCAGGTCCTCCTGCCCTGTCCCTCAGCTCTGGTCGCCAGGGCCTCCCTCAGGCTGGCTCATGTCTGGAGCTTCTGGCTCATCTGTCCACGAGCCCCTCCTGTGCTCCCCTGTGCTGGGCTGCAGACCTCATCCACTTGCCAGACTCAGACCCCCTTCCTTGCAGGCCCTCTCCTGGGCCCCAGGCTCGCACCAGTCTCCATGGCCAGGCTGTACCTGCCCTTCCTGGCCTCCCACCAGGGCCAGCTGTCATTTCTATAGGCCTCCTCTTGAGCCCTGGGGTCCAGGCCCCACCCCCTGTGGTCAGCCCTGCAGTCTGGGCCTTTGTCCCTTCATTCTCTGCCCTGAGGCCACCTGCTCTACACCCTGCCTTCCGTCCATTTCCCAAAGGCTCAGGCTTTCCCAGACCCACCCTGCCTGTCCCTTTCCCTCCTTGGTGCCTCCCTCTCCTGCCTAGACTCCCACACCAGCCACTCTGGCCACTCTCAGGGGCTCCCTGGGTCTCCCAGAGTTCTGGGTCCCCTGCTCTCCTGCCCCAGCTCCTGAGCCTCCCATAAAGACCGTTTCCCCCTCATTCCCAGCCAGACTGCACCAGGCCCTAGGCTGGTGGGGGGCAAGATGCAGGAGCACTTAAGTCCTGTGAGGCAGTAGAGGCCAGGGTGGCACCCACCAGGCTCCTCTCCTCCTAACCCGTACAGCCAGGGTTCCGAGGTGTGGGGTGTGCAGGGAGACGTGGAGTTCATGGATCACAGAACCTTCAGGTGAGATGGATGTTGGAAAGTGGCTGTTTGAAGCCGCGGAAGGCTGTTGAGCTGGGCTGAGCCGTCCCCTTGTTTGTTGGAAGCAGGCTGCTCCTGCTTGATTGAGGGGTGACTGGAGGGTCTGCCGACGCTGTGTGCTTGATCCACAGTCGAGCTGGTATGGCGTAGTCACTGGCGCACCTGCGGTGAGGGTGCGCAGGACCTGGCTGTGACGTGTGTGGTCAGCAGTGCCGTGCTCGGGCCCCTGTGAGCTTGCCTTTTGCAGGAGTCTGCACTCTGACCAGCACACGGTACCCACACTCCCACTGCACTCTGCCTCGGTGACTGGCTTTCCAGCTGGTCTTTAATGTGCCAGCCACCTCTGTTGCCTTCACGTGGTAGCTCACCTTCTCCTGGCACCAGGCTGACCTACTCCATGCCCGGCCCAGACCTGTTTATAAACAAGCCCACACTTGGTCTGAAATTCTGGTCTCCCTGCAGCAGGCACGGGAGGGATGTAGAGGGTGACAGTCGCCAGGATTCTTGTGTGTCTGTGCAGGGACCATCCCCGAAACTGGCAAGAAGAACTGAAGCCTGAGCTTCCACCTAGCCCATTCCACAGAGTACGGGGCACACATTCAGCAGAAGTATGGAAGGACTCTTAGGAGCATGCACACTCTGTGATTTAGAAAGTGCCAGATCCCGGCAGCCCCAGGTTCCTTACAGAGCAGTCAGAGGGCAGAGCCCTGTCCACACCGCAAGGCCCCCTCAGCATGGGCCCTGGGCTGTACAGGCACCCCTCCCAGTCACAGCACCTCTTCTCACAGGTCCTGGGTCTGGGGAGCTCCAAGTGTGGGCGTGGGGATTTAGGAACCAGTCTGTCATTTCCCCAGAACACCTTCTCATCAGGCCCCTTCCCCAAGAGCCAGCAGTGCCAGTGCCTGCCTCTGCCCCTGTCCCCAGCCCTCCTGCCAGCTCAATGCTGTGTCACACTGGGCCCCCCGCTGCAGGAGGGGCTGTGTTTCTCTGGACAGCTGTGTCTGCAGCTGGTGCTGGCCTCTCCCCACACCTGCGACTTCTTCAAGCCCATGTGCCTGCTCCCAGAGGCTTCTAAGCACCAGGTGCCATCTGTCTCCAGCTGTAGCCTGGCTGGGCCTGTGCTGCGCAGCCCAGGACCAGGTCGTGGTGCCTGTGGCCTTGGTGCACTCCCGAAGTGCTGCCTTGGGAGGAGCCTTCTGCAGCCCAGGACCTCTGAGTCTGAGCTGGTTCCTCTGTGTTGCAGATCATCCCCAAGCCCAGTGAGCCGCCACGGCAGCCAGAGAGCCACCCCGAGGAGACGGAGGAGGAGCTCCGGGAGCACCAGGCCCTGCTGGATGAGCCCTATCTGGACCGGCTCCCAGGGCAGAAGGAGGCGCACACGCTGGCCGGTGTGCAGGTGAAGCAGGAGCCCATAGAGAGCGATGAGGAAGAGGCGGACCCCACACGGGAGGCGGAGCCAGGCCAGCGCCCACCCACTGAGCAGGAGCTGCTCTTCAGACAGGTGCCAGGGCAGGGCAGTGGGCAGGCGGTCACTGGGCAGCCACTTGCCAACCACCTTGGCCTGGAGTCTGTCCTGCATGAACTGTGGGCACCCACATTCATGTACCTGTTCTCAGCGAACAGCCCGTTCCCTAGAGCTGGTTCTCTTCAGGTCCGTAGAAGCCAGGCACTGGTGAGATTTAAATAACCCCAGACTGAGTCAGTTAAGAAGGTGGGCGGGATCGGGGCAGCAGCTGGGAGCTTGGGGGCCAAGGAGAGAGATGCTGGTGTGCAGCTTTGTAGAAAAGCACTCTGATGGGCTGTCCTGAGCCAGTGAGAGGTGAGGCACTGATTCACGCGCCCAGACTCCTAAGAGATGAAGAAATCCAGTGAATGATGTGTGAAGTCCCAGTGAAAACCAAAGTGGCCAAGGCAAGAGCGTACTTAGGATAGTCGACTAGTGGTCAGAAGCCAGGTCAGAAGCCAGACGGCCTCCGGGGAGGTCGCTCCCTCCTGAGGAGCAGGGCTGAGCCAGCGGATCTGAGCAGTGCTGTGGGCCATGCGTTCCAGCAGCCGGGCCAGTGCCTGGGTACTGCTTCTGGGGCACCCGGGCCACTGGCTGGCCCCCAGCCTTCTGGCTGGATTCCGTGACACTGCCTAGCCATGACAGCTCCAGCAGGTGGCCAGTGCTCCCTGCCCAGCCCCCCACCTGGCCCTGCTCACTCGGCCCTCCCTGGAGATGCAGAAAGTGGGCTGCAGCCTTGCTCCCGGCTCCCCGGGCCCAAGCCTGGATTCCAGGACTCTGTCCCCAGCAGCCATGCTTGCTGACCTGGCAGCTGGCCTGGTGGTGCTCCTGTCCTTTGTGGCTAGAGGTGACCTTCTCCAGTTCCTGCAAAGTCCAGTAGAACTCATGGTGACAGCAGCAACAGAAGCCCAGGTGGCGAGAGCTGCCGACCCCTGGCCCACCAGCCCTTGGGCGGCCCTTCCCACCCACCCTGTTTCTGGTGGGGCCCAGAAGGTCTCAAGGAAGGTTTACTGTGACTGAGACTCAGGATTCTGTCACGCAGATGCCAGGTTGGGTGCTGCGCACGCACGGCCTCAGCTGGTGTCTGAGGTGGTGATGGGCATGCACTTGGGAGGAGGGCCTGGCTAGCTGTCCAGCATGAGACCCTCCCGGGGGAGTGTGGTGAGGCCCAGTACAGCTTACAGAGGTATGCATAGGATAGAGCACTGGACCTGCCCCGAGTAGCCATGTCGCACCTCAGGAGCAACAGTGGGTCACTAAGCCAGGCCCAGCCCGCTGTGGCCAGTGAGCCAGGCCTGTAGCACCTGGATTTCCTCTGCCCTTGACCTTGACCCTACTTCTTGGGCAGAAACCAGGGGCTGGGCCCGGGTTCTCCAGGTTCTCCGGCAGGTGGACCTGGCGCTCCATGGCCCTGTGGTCTCTTCATCACATCCGGCAGGGTGAGCCGGAGTGGGTGGAGACATCCTGCTTCTTCCCTGCTGTGGCCTGTGGCTGTGGCAGGAGGCCTTGGGAGGCTGGGCAGGCTTGTGCTCCTGCCAGTTCCCAGGTCCTGATGGGGACCCAGGTCCCTTGGGGGACCCAGGCGTGTCCACACCCTCCTGGCTCTGTCCTCCCTGGCCCCTGAACTGCGAGTGAATGTTCCTCTTCCCCCCGCAGTTCCTCCCTTCCTAGAGGGGGACACGGGGTGGGCAGAGGCCCAGGACGGGGAGCTGCTAGTGGAGGAATGAAGCTGCCCTTCTGTGTCTGTGATCACTTTCTGGCCAAGTTTGGCATCCAGATTAGAAACTCTTGGTCCAGACAAGACCAGTGGGAATTGATGAGGACAGCAGTCTGTGCTTGGGCCTCACCGCAGCCTGGCCACCATGAGCCTCCAGGGTCCCCAGGTGAGGTCAGTGCACCTCACCCCATATGGGCTGAGCCCTCAGCCTGGAGGGTGACCCCTGCTGCTCCTTCTGACTCAGGACCTCCTCAGAGAAGCCCTCGTGTCCCCTCACTGGGGCTCACCATGAGGAGGAGATGGCTTGTGCTGGAGCTCTCTGTCCACGTCTGGCTTCCTGCCAGGAGGCCGGGTGCTCGAGGCAGACCGCACCTGCCATTCTGCACCCTGACCTCACTTGGCATGGCCACAAGCACAGGAAGGTGGCCGTCTGTGGCTGGCTGACCCGGGGTGGGGCCTGGCCCATCTGTTCCCAGCCTGGGTATGACCCTGGGGCCCCGGGTGGGAGGGGGCGTGCCAGCGGCGCAGACTGCTGTCCCTCCCGCAGCAAGCCCTCCTGCTGGAGCAGCAGCGCATCCACCAACTGAGGAGCTACCAGGCGTCCATGGAGGCTGCCGGCGTCCCAGTGTCATTCAGCGGCCACAGGCCTCTGTCCCGTGCACAGTCCTCCCCAGCGTCCGCCACCTTCCCTGTTTCTGTCCAGGAGCCCCCCACCAAGCCAAGGTTCACCACAGGTAAGACGCGGGCGGGCCCTGCTGCGGTGGGTGGGAAGCTGCCTGCAGCTGGAGCTCCAAGAGGGCCACTGTGAGGGCTCAGGCCACACAGCCTGCAGCCACACCAGTGCTGTTCTGTGGGCTGTCCAGGGACGGCAGCCTCCACCTGCATGCCCACGTGGCCCGTCCTGGGTCAGCGAGAGAGTGGACTTGGCCTCTCTCACTTACCCCCTTGCTGAACCAAGCTGATGTCCCCGACACAGGCCTGCAGGCCCCACTGACCTACTGTACAGCTGTGCTGGAGAGGAGCCCAGCAAGCTCCGGGGCCCGAGTCTCCTCGCCGCTGTCCCTCACCCCACCTGTCCCTCACTCCACCTGTCCCCTTCTGTGGGAAGGCAGGTAGATTTGCTTCTTTCTGAAAGGCGCAGGAGCAGGAGCACAGCAGAGGACGCGGGGCCTAGAGCCAGTGAAGGCTGTTCCCTGGCTGGCACCCTGCACCAGCCCTAGAGGGGAGCAGCACTGGCTCCCCACAGCGGAATGGCCAGGGTGGCCACGGTGCTCGGCCTCAGTGCTCCACCTCGTGGGGTGCCAGGAAGACAGGTGTAGAGTCAGTGACGGTCCCAGTGTCCTCACGCTCCCCGAGAGCTCGCTTCCCTGCGCCCCACAGACACAGCCAAGGTCTTCTCTTCAGCTCTTAGAAGGACATTGGTCACATTCAGAGAAAACCTCGTAGTAATCGCACAGAAACCAGGAAAGGCAGAGACAACTGCGGCATCCAGACCAGCCGGGCTGCACAGGTCACTGGCATTGACGGAAGCACACCGATTCTCAGAATTCTGAGCGGGGCCCGACGGGGCGCCCCTCCCCACAGCCCGTGGCCACCGGCAGTGGCTGTGCCCTGCGCTGGCAGGCAGGGGCTTCGGTGGCCCATGTGTTCAGGCCCTGTCCTGGCTTCAGGGTTGTCACTTTGGGGTTGATCCGTCGGTACACGTTCATCAAAGCACAGTGTGCCTGAGGCCGCAGGAAGCCTGCCCCACCTGGTCTGGCAGGGCAGCCCTGGAGGTTCACGTCTGTGTAGCGGGCGGACAGGTCGACGCCCAGGGAAGCTGACTGCAGGAGGACAGGCTTGCCGCGCCTCTTGGTGCCGGCACCCTGGGCGGCCTCCCGGGCCCACACAGTGCTTCTGCATGTCCTTCACACAGTGTGGTCACCTGGCCTGCTGCTCCTCAGCTTGCACCCTGCTGGGTTTGACTGTGAAGCAGCAGTGGGGTCCGCCGCGGCTCAGTCTGTGGGGACGGGTCAGCAAGCATGAGCTCATCACGGAGACCTGCTGAGTGGCTACGTGTTTGTCCTGCAGTGGCCATCTACCTGCACCTCGCCGTCCTGCCCACACACTGAGCCTCTGGGTCCCTGTGACCCTCTACCCATCCTGCTGAGCTTTTTTAAACAAAAAGTCACATCTTCAGCACTCGGCTCTGGTAGAGCACCCAGAATCCCTCGGGTGTGGGTGCTGGCTCCGTTAGCCCAGCTCTCAGAGGCTGAGCAGGAAGGTGGGAGAGCCGACACAGCACCAGGCGTCCAGCCAGGCCCCGTGGCTGCGACCTCGGGCCTCAGCTCACCATGGCTGGCAACACTGCCTGTGTTCCCAGGAGCATAGACAGAGACCCTTCAGCATCAAGCTCTAGAAGTGCCCACCCACTGGGCACGCACACTGTAGCCAGCAGATGGCCCTGACCGTGAGCTATGCAAGGGCATCTTCCACTCATCCTGGCTGTTCCTTGATCACAACCTAAGAACCACCAGCCTGGGATCCCCAAGCAGGACCAGCAGTGCAGCCCTCCTGCCAGATGTCACCATGGACAGAGCTCCTCTAGGGACAGGGCCTGGTGGCAGAGGGGCCACCTGCCACTGCAGTGGTCCTGACCTTGACAGGGTGGCGTCCGTCACGGCAGCTCTGGTGTGTGGATGAGGCTGCCCACGGTGTCCCGAGGTCAGCGGGGCTTCCCTCAGGAGTGTCCCCCCATCACTGCAGCCCAAGCCCGTCAGCGCTGGACTCTGTCCTGCGGTCAGCAGGTTTCTGAGCTCCACGGGCTCGTTCACATTTGCTGTGGGCAGCCCGGTGTGGGTCTGTGTGCCCTCAGGCATGTCCCCACTCCTCTGGAGGTCTCTGACGGCAGCCCTCCATTTGGGACCACCCTGACCCTCGGGCCCCTGGGACAGTGCCAGCTATCAGGGCTGCTCCGCACAGAGGTCAGTCCGTGACCAGGTGGACTTGGACCTTAAAGGGACAAGACCTCCTGTGCTGGAAGCTGGCACAGTCCTATGGGATGCAGGTGGCACCCAGGGTGTGGGGCGGCTCCCCGGGGCCAGCCACCTGCTCACGTTTTTCTCCCTCGCTGCCTCATGCTGCTGCCCTCCCCACCGGGGCCTTGGGCAGTGCCGGGAGCCAGAGCAGGGCCAGCCCACACGCGCGGCCTTGCCTCTGCCTCACCCACGTCCTCAGGGCCTGGTGGGTCAAGGGGTCGAGTTGGACTTGCTCTTTTTCTCAGGGTGTCTTTCTCCTCTCCCTAGCAGGGCTGTGGGGCCGCCTGGGCCACCTCCTGGCAGGTGCTGGCCCAGCTATGGCCACACCACTGACCTCGGCTGCCTGTGTCCCCCCCCAGGCCTCGTGTACGACACCCTGATGTTGAAACACCAGTGTGCCTGTGGGAACACCAACAGCCACCCTGAGCATGCGGGGAGGATCCAGAGCATCTGGTCCCGCCTGCAGGAGACGGGCCTCCGCGGCAAGTGTGAGGTAACGCGGCCGGGCCACTCGGGTGGGGACCACTGCCGCCTTATTCATGGTCGCCATTGTCCTGTGGAGACATGTCAGCCCGCAGGCCCCCAGCAGGTGGAGTCTGGTTGTAGCACCCGGGGGAGGCTTGAGAGCAGCACTGCCAGCCTTTCCCAGGGTCACCCTCTGCACTGTGTGAGCACGGCCCTTCTGCTGAGAAGCTGTCCCTGTACTTTCAGGTGCTATAGCAGAAACCCTGAGGCTGGGTAATCTATAAAGAAAAGAGGTTTGTCTAGCTTATGATTCTGGTGGCTAGAAAGTCCACACAGCCTGGTGCCAGCCTCTGGTGAGGATCCCCAAGTTGTGACACAACACAGTGGAGAAATGGTGGCCTGTGGCAGGAGCCACATGTGTGGGTGGCCTTGCTTTCTAATAGCCCACCCTTGGATAAGACCTGAGCCTTCAGCCCTGTGGAGGGTGGAGCCCATGACCTGATCACCTTCCCCCGGGCCCACGTCACCCTGGGGCCCAGGCTCCCACACGTGGCTCTGAGCAGAGACCCTCCACACCAGTGCACTGCCAGGGCTGCCACCCACACCTGCCCATTCCCTGCTGCAAGGGCGCCCCCTTCTGGCACAGCCACGGCTCTGCTGACCTCCCAGCTGCTGCTGTCCTCCTCCTGGTCACTTCCTGGAAGAAGCCCTTGCCATCCTGCTCACCGCTGCTCCCGACCTCTGTGGGGAGGGCAGGATCTGAGGCTATGGGGAACTGGGCGTCGCAGCTCAGGCTGGCTGGCTTTGCATCACGTCCTCCTCCTTAACACCGAGATTCTTCACGGCTGGGGGTGCTTCCTCGGAGGGGGAGTGCCACGTGGCCCCGCTGCTGTGGGAGAGGCTCCGCTGCGCGCCTCCCTGGCTGGCCTCCCTGATGGCCAGCCTTCGCCCACACCTCGGGGAGCCTGTTCCCAGGCAGGAGGGCCCGGCCCGGTGAGGTCCCCTGGTCCTCCTGGGTCTTCCCAGGGGCTGCAGCAGCATTTCCAAGAGTGGACCTAGCTGGTGCCCTTCACCCAGGTGCCAGGCGTGTGAGTGCAGGTGTGTGGCGGTCTGAGCCCCTGGGGACAGTTGTGTGACAGGCCCTGCTGCAGTCCAGGCACTGAGAGAAGTTCAGGGACCAGGAGCTGGCAGCCCCACAGCCCGCCTTCCCCATCTGGGTGACAAGCGGCAGTGGCCACCTCCCAGGCTTGTCCTGGAGGGCACACCGGGTAGGGACCTGCCCAGACCAGGAATCCCACCAAACTAGAAGGCCACCACGTCTGCCCCGCCCCAGGCCACCAGGTGCCCACCTGGGCCCCGGCCAAGGGCCCCGGGGATGAACAGGCACTTCTGCAGTGTGGAGGCGCAGCCCCTCACGGCTGCCGGCCTCCCAGTCTGTGGCTCACGCTGCCTGTGTCCTTCACCACCTTCACTGTGACGCCCAGCTCGGTCAGGGAGGGTGCGCGGTCCTCCCAGAGCCCTCCGGGACGGAGACTGAGAGCCTGCAGGGTGAGGCCCTGGGCGCGGCTTCCTGGGTCTGGCAGACAGCTGCCCACTGGGGGGCAGCAGAGCCCCACAGATGGCTGGGGAGACCCCTTCCTCGCCAGCATGGAGCTGGGAACCTCCCTTCCAGGGCCCCCAGGGCCCCCTGAAGTTTCCAGATTCCCCCTGCCCACCCTCTCATCCTGCTCCCTTCAGCATCTCTCCTGGGAGACAGGACCACTAGACCAGGGGGCTCAGAGGAGGGCCTCTGCCAAAACCCAGTGGGAACCAGGTTGAAGTGAGAAAATAAGACCCCTGGATCAAGCAGGACCCAGACCTCCCCTTTCATCTGTGTGGAGGTAGAGGGGAAGTGCAGGTGTGTGAGTGCAGGTGTGTGAGTGCAGGTGTGTGGAGGTCGAGGGAAGTGCAGGTGTGTGAGTGCAGGTGTGTGGAGGTGGAGGGAAGTGCAGGTGTGTGAGTGCAGCTGTGTGATACAGGTGTGTGAAGGTTGAGGGAAGTGCAGGTGTGTGAGTGCAGCTGTGTGATACAGGTGTGTGGAGGTGGAGGGAAGTGCAGGTGTGTGAGTGCAGGTGTGTGGAGGTGGAGGGAAGTGCAGGTGTGTGGAGGTGGAGGGAAGTGCAGGTGTGTGAGTGCAGGTAAGTGGAGTGCAAGTGTGTGGAGGGGCGGCTTGTGGGCCCAAGTGGAGAGGGAAGCAGGGTGAGCCTCCAGGAGGCCAGCCTCCTCCCCACACCCAGCAGCGGTGCTGCATGGACAGTTAGGTCCTCCCACGAGTTCCCGAGATGCGAAAGCCATGCTCTGGCCTTCCCGGTGCTGGCTGGGCCACGGGTGGCTGCTGCCTGGCAGCTGCCCTGAGAGCCATGTAGGCCCAGCTGGCAGGAAGGCTGGAAGGAGGGCAGAGCACAGACCAGCACCAGCTGCTGCCGCTGCGGTCCAGCCTGAGACCTGTGGTCTTGCTGCCACGGGGAGCTTCCTGGTTGCCCGGGAGCCAACAGGGACGCGCTTCCCAGTTAAGGGGCAGCTCAGCCCCTCAGTGCTGGGAAGCTCTCCTGCACAGTTCGTGGTCCTGATCTCCCAGAGCCCCTGTTTGCTGGGTTTGGTGTCTTCCTCCTCTGCCAGAGAGTTGGAGGGCAGGTGCTCTTCCTCTTCCTCTTCACTGTAGTTTAAAAGCCACTCCCTTAGTCTAACTGAAAGTCCCTCTTGCTGCAATTCAGATCTTATCCACTGTGGGGAGGCCTGTGGCCTTGCCCTCCTTGCCTCACAGCATGTGGCCACGGCCTGCCTCCTCTTGACAACAAGACCAGGACTCTTGTACCCCATGAGCCTCTCAAAACATGGCCCCCAGACATCATCTGTCCAGACAGAATGTGGCGCTGGCCATGCCTGTGTCCCCAAATTACCACAAGGTGGGAGAAGTGGCTAGCAAATGGCAGCCACCCTCAGGGGACCCCCTGCAGGGCACGTCCTCCACTGTGCCTGGAACGGCTGGACTGTGGTGGTCAGGGACTCGTTCCCATCACTGGGAGGCACTGCCTCTCCTCTTCCCCGACCCTGGAGTGACTGTCCACCATGAGAAGGGGGTCCCCAGAGCAGACCTCCAGGTGGGACAGCTGGCTCTGGTTGTCCCTCTCGAGAGCAGTGTTGAGCTCTGCCCGCTCGTCCTCTTCCTTCCGCACCCGCACGGACGAGCCCCCACTGCAGGGAAGGCCCGAGTGCAGGCACTCCTGGTGGCCCGGGGCAGCCCTGCCGGGGCTCCCTCAGCTTGGGCACCAAGGCCTGTGGAAGGCCCAGTGCTGGCCAGGCCCGTGGTCCAGACCCTGCTCCCACCCCGAGAAAGCAGAGGTGGCACCACCACAGCCCAAGTGTGTCCCTGTGTGGCCTGGCCCTCCAGACGCATTTCCACCGGAGAGCTGGCTTCCTCTAGGGTCAGCAGCCCCGCCCTTCTCAAGGCTGAGTGCCAAGCCCGACCAGGGGGCAGTGCCCTGCTCATCCCCTGGGCGGAATCTGAACACAGCCCTGTGTCTGCACTGGAGGGGTCCTAAACCAAGGTGCAGGGCTCTCAGATCACCACCCGAGGCAGGTGCAGACCCTCCGGGATGCCAGCCTGTGTGCCCCGCGATGCCCAGGGGAGTGGGGACTCCAGTTCCCCTTGAATGGGATTCCACCAGGCAACTCACATGCTCTTTGGCGTTGAGTCCTGCTTGAAGACCAGGCCCTAGCAGGGGTCAGCACAGTGTGACGACAAAGGGTGACCTGTTGAAGGCTGGAGTTATCTTGTTCAGTGTTTCCAAAGCCCTAATTCAAGTGTAAGCCCTCTACAGTGTTTGGGGTAGTGTTGGTTGATACTCGCTCTTTGTTTTGTGACTACCCAGTGGTCCTGTGCTCACTCTGTGGCCAGCTAAGCTTCCCTTGGGGCGACAGTGCTGCCGAGCTGAAGCAGCACCTGCACAGATGTGAGCCACCTCTCACCTTGTCTCTACAGTGCGTCCGCGGCCGGAAGGCCACTCTGGAGGAGCTGCGGACGGTGCACTCCGAGGCCCATGCCCTCCTGTACGGTACAAACCCTCTCAACAGGCAGAAGCTGGACAGTAAGAAACTTCTAGGTATTTCCAGACCTTCCTTACCTCCCTACCAGGTTGACCTCACCCCGTGGGGTGTCTCCAGCCCTTGGCTCCTGCAGCCAGGGTGGCCCTGGGAGTCACCAACTGCATGGGTGCTTCCCTGCAGTGCCTGTGCCCGGCCACAAGGCAAGGGGCCTGCAGGAGAATCGTGCCTTCGGTCCTCGGCTCAGTCCTGCTGCTCAGCTGGCTCCTCTTGTGTGTGGGCAGGAGGCGGGTCAGGGGCGGCCGGTGCAGAAGGGTCTGCATGCCAGAGGCCACTCAGGAGCTCTGAGGCTCCCGCACGCTCCCCAGCCCTCGTCCTGTTTGGCTCACCACTTGGAAGCCTGGCAGCTGGGCCTTGGCTGCTGGGCAGGAGGCTCTTGTTTGCTGGCCCTGAGCAGGCAGCCCCTCCTGAGTGGGTGCAGGGAAACCTTGGCCCCCTGGCTAAGCTCCTTGAATAGACGGCACCTGGCCCTGCAGGCTGCCCAGATACAGATCGCAGACCTGAGGACAGGGTCCACGGGCTCCCTGGGCACAGACCTAGAGTCGGGGCCCACGGGCTCCCTGGGGGCAGACCTCTGCAGGCCACCTGGCCACAGGCTCCCTGGGCGCAGACCTCTGCAGGCCACCTGGCCACAGGCCCAGGCTAGGGTCCTCAAGGCCCCTTCTTTTCTGGGTCATTTCTTCCCTCGTCTCTGACCACCTGGAACCAGTGCAACCACTGGCCGTTGGCTTCTTCCCCAGCATCCCAGCCTTTGCCCTCGGAGAAGAGCTGCCCCAGCCCTGCTCTGGGCACCAGCCATGGGGTCACAGGGGCAGCAGGCCGGCTGTGCTGGGCCTGCTTCCTGCGTGTCTAGTGGAGGGCATCAGAGGCCTGCTCTGTACCAGGCCCGTGCTGCGCAGGCCGAACCGGGGCACTCCCCCTCCCCGTCATGACCCGCCCCCTCTCCTGCTCCTTAGTTGACTGACCCATTCATCTCATGTGTCCAGTCACCCCTCACCTGCTCCCCAAGGGCATCTTTTGTAGCAGAGCTGCAGGGAGGCCCTTGCCTGTGGGAGTATGGAGCCAGGGTCCTGTGGGGACACCCTAGACCCCAGCCTCAGGGGACCAGGCATGCTGCTTTCGGCCCCTGAGTCTCCAGGTACAGCCATACACTCTGGGGAAGCAGGAGAGGGGTTGGCAGTGGCAGGACCTTGGAGGTGGGACCCAGAGCAGACCTCCAGTGGGACAGGGGCGTGGTCCTGCCTGCCTTAGCAGTCAACAGCATAGACTCCTGAGCCAGTGCAACCCTGCTTACTCTGTAGACCCCAGCAGCTCAGGGAGGTGACCACAGAGACCTAGGACTGCATAAGAGGGAGCAGAGAGGGATGTAGGTCAGGGGCTGGGCAGGTGCAGGCCTCTGTTCCCTGTGCCAGGACCCCAGCTCCATGGTCCTGGGCAGCTGCTGCTGCTGCAGAAAGAACATGGCAGGGCTCCCCATCTGGGCACCCACCTGCCCCCGGCCCCTACCTTATGGAGACCATTGGCCAGAAGCAGGGTAGGAGTGGGCTGATGGGGACACTGCACTGGCTTCCAGTCACCTGAGTTTCATGATGCAGACTTTCCAGCAAGGAGGGCCCTCAAAGGATAGCCCTGTGTGCTCAGTGCTTGAGGGATGGTCAGGTGTCCAGGCCTTCGTCCTGGTCTCAGGAGAGGGTGGGGCAGAGAGTGTGACATTGCTCTGGACAGGTGTGCCCAAGCAGCTGGATCCAAGTTCAGATCAAAGGCTCCTGGGGACGGGCGGCTCCTGGAAGGCCTAGCAACAGAGCCAAGGCCAAGAGGGGCCCTGTGAGCAGAGCACGTGCAGGAACCAGAGAGGGACTTGCGGGCAGCGGGGGCAGGGGCAGGAGTCTGGGAGCTGAGCAGCAGGACAGCAGGCCAGAGAGCCAGCCCTGGCGATTCCCCCCAGCCCCATGCCATGTGGCTGTCAGTGTGCTGCAGAGGCTGCCTGCGAGTCCAGTGTGAGGGGACTTGTGCCTCAAGTCACCCGTGCTGCCCCAACAGGCTTCGGGAGTCGCTGACGGCCTCAAGGTGGGGACACATCAGCTGGGTGGTCCCCCCTGATGGTGGGGCAGCTTCACTGCTGCACCCCCTTAGAGTGGCAGATCCTGCCCAGTCCACTGTGCACCTTGGCTGTCCATCTTTAGAGAGCCCACTGTGGCCTGACCCACTACAAAGGGCCCTTGGCATGCCAGTCTCCAGAGTTGTGAGCTTGGGGCAGAGGATGGCCTCCAAGTCAGGGGAAGGTGGGTGGCCTAGGTCCTCCAGCCAGTTTCAAGCCAGGCCAAGTCAGGCCCTCAGAACCGGAGAGAAGCCATGCAGTGTGTGTCAGGGCGTGGAGAGGCGCCCATGTGCCAGGGCCCACAGCCCACTCCCCTGCTGACGGGGGCCTGGTGCTCCCCTCCTCTGGTCCCCTGGCTCCTCTTGAGCGTCAGGTGCTCCACGTCCCGTGGTGGCCATTGCAGCGTGTTTGGTGATCCTTCTGCTGGCCAAGCGTGCAGTGTGACCTGTCACCTTGCGCAGGAGTTAGGCACTGAGCGCGACAGGGCCAGTGCCCCACCTTCTCCCCACCCAGGCCATTGTCCTGATCAGAGCTCCCCTGCCAGTCCAGGTGCTCCAGACTGGGAGTTGGCAGGCGTCCCCCCTCTGCCTGGCACTGCCCTGTGGCTCTCTGCCTCTCTGTAGGATCCACAGATTGTAAGCCGTGTGCAAAAGGCCCCGTCTTCCTCACTGCCACGGTGCCGTGCCCTCTGTGGGCCCTCCCTGGCCTGGAAGCCCAGGATTCGTCTTATGGTGGCATGAGTTGGCATTGCCTCAAGAGGCACCTAGCCCAGGGGCGGCTGCATAGTGCTCACCAAGGTCCCCCCCAGAGGACAGTAGTCATGGCAGGAAGCCCCAGTCCTTCCCTTGGAAGTGCCAGCCAGTCTGCTGCAAGTGGACAGATGATAGTCCTTGATGCCCCAGGCGGCCTTCAGGCCAGAGGCTCACATCCAGCCCAGGTGCCTGGCTCCAAGCTGCAGGAAGCTAGAGCTGACTGTAGGCTTGGGCACCGGAACAGGCCCTTGGTGGTGGACGCTCCAAGGCCCTGGACTGTCCTGGGTCAGCTCCCTGTAGAGCATGCCCTGCCCACCACCCACCCAGGGCGGCCCTGTGTCCTGGGCTGTGACAGCCCCTTTCGGCCTTCCTTGTGAAGTCTGCCCAGGGGACACCTTCCCTTCCACAGCCCTGCTGTTGCTAGGCCATGATGGGACTGAGGAAGGCCCCGGCCCCTGGCCCCAGGGCCATTTCCTGCTCTCTCTAGGAGCGTCCTCTTGATGCCAGCCACTGTGCCTTCCCTCCACGAAGCTGGATACCAGGTGATGCTGCAGGACACTGAGCAGCAAGCAGGGTGCTAGGGGGTGGCCCAGGCCTCCGCCTGCCCCGGCCGCCCTTGCCTACCTGTTCCTACTTCCTTCTGCCCCCACACCTCTGGAAGGGACCTGCCTGCACTGAGAGGCCGCTCTGGCTGTCCTGGTGGCCAGCCTCTGGGGCGATCCGCCTGCTGCTGCCATGCTCTGTGGTGCCTGCCTCGGGTGCTGCCACGGGGCAGGGGTGGCCATGTGACTCCCCGAGCACGTGTGGTGTCCCCTATGACTGCCCAGCCTGGGAGCTCCAGATCCAGGCAGTGGGCATGCAGCCAGCCAAGGCAGGAAGACAGGGAGGGGCTGAGAAGCTGGCCCAGGTAGGACGCCAAACAGTCCAGATCCCCTTCTTTTTAGATGGCAGGAAGGGGAGGCCACAGGCCGTTGCCTGAGTGGGCATGAGATTGAGGGCGGAGAGCAGCAGGGAGAGCCTGGAGCCAGCCTGATACATGCTACTGGCCTGGTGGCTCAGTACCCATGTGGCCCGGGCAGGAGCGGGAGCCAGTGGCACAGGCCAGCACCTGTCGACACAGCTGTGCCCCTCTACAACATGCTGGGCACTCCCACAAAAGGGCTCTCTGCCTCTGTGGGATCACAGCAGGGTCTGAGCCAGCCCCTGCCCTCTGCTGGGCAGTGTCTCCCACACGTGAGCCCCATATGGACCTTTCCTGGGGGACCTGGGCCTCTGAGCCCTGTGATGTGCCCCCGCTGCCCTGAGCTGGTGCTCAGGGTCAGGCGGGGCGGGAGTTGGGAATGGGGCTATACTCTGGGCCAAGGGACCTGCTTGCTGGAGCAAGTCTGGACCTCAGGCTCGCTGGGCTTATAAGGAGCGACCGTGCAGACCTGGCCAGGGAGGATTGGGGCATGGAGAACACGGAGCAGAGGGGACCAGGCAGCAGCTGGGGTGGCAGGCCAGCAGGCAGAGCCCTCCCTGCCCAGTTCCTAAAGGACGAGGGCCACTTTGGAACCTGGGCTCTGTCCCTCCTGGGGCAGTCTCTGCCATTGTGACAGGCAGCTTTAGGCTGACCTGCACTCAGCCAGCTCTGAGATCACAGAGGGAAAAGACACCATCCCCTTCTAGAGTACCTTCCTGATGGGGGCCGGCAGTTGTGAGTGCTGGGGGCCCTGGGGTTCTGTGTGAGGGGGAGGTTTCCCAGCAGGTGTCTGATCTAAGCTCCTGAGGGGTGGGGCAGGGGCCTGTGAGCCTGGAACACAGCGCTGTGTTGGGAGCTGAGAGGGGGCTTGCCCGGGACCCAGCATCGGCGCCTGGGATGTGGCGCTTGCTGTAGAGGCAGTGAACCCAGGGCTCCCGCCCACCGGCCCTGAGAGGAGGGCTGCTGGCAGCACAGCAGCTCTGCTCCCTCTGGACAGGCTCTGCTCAGCGGGGGAGCATTGCCCCTGGGGCCAGCGCCATCCGGGCCTGCCTCTGCCCTGTTTAAGAGGCACGCAGCTCCAGAGCCGACGTGCTGTTGGCCTCCTGACCCTTTCCCTCTCCCCGCAGGCTCGCTGACCTCCGTGTTTGTCAGGCTCCCCTGTGGTGGTGTTGGGGTAAGTACTTCTTTAATGTGTGAGTAATGTCCTGTTTGTTCTTAGAGTCCTAGCGGTCACAGAAATCACTGCCTTGCTTTGCTCTGAGTGGAAATTGCTGCCAGGTGTTTTCCATAAGCAGGGCCTCTGGGCCAGGTGCCCAGATACGGCTTCCCAGGCCCTGCTGTGAGATCGCAGAGGTAGGGCGCCTTTCCCTGGGGATGGGCGTCCAGCGCACACGGCCTGGGCCCTGCTGGGTGCTGGCTCTGAGAACTGGAACCCGCAAGCAGGCTGTGTCTTGTCCTCTGCATCCACCACGGCCAGCTCTGAGATCACAGAGGATCTGTGTGTCCACTCAGGTGGTAGAGAAGCCCAGGGGCGGAGCATGCTCATTCTGCCCAGAGCCCCTGAGCAGTGGCCCCATAGGCACGTGGCATTTGGGAGGCAGCTGGCTGCACTGTGCTGGTCTCTTCCTATGGGCAGATGTCTCCACTGGACCCGCCGGAGAAGAGGCAGAGGCACCCAGTGACAGAGACTTCTCTCTGCTCGAGTGGACTGGCCTCCAGTCCTTGCTGAACGAGGTCCCCAGTTCTGGCTTGTTGGTGGCAGGGCTGGGGCAACACCTGGAGCAAGGCCGAGCCTCCTGTCCCATCTGTGACCTGTGACCCATGGCATTGAGGAACATTGCGAAGGGTCACAGAGGCCAGGCAGCAGGAGCAGGTGGGCAGCAGAAGCTCTTTCTGCTGAGTTGGCAGCGTGACCACAGACGGCAGGGGGACAGTCCAGGTCTGCATTCTGTTGTAGAAATGCAACAAAACTGCGTTCTCCCGAGTCTGCCAAAGTTGCTGCTTTGAAAACTACCCTGTCAGGAAGGGTGACCGGCGTCATCCCAGCCGAGCCCTGAGGGCTTTTAGTTGTAAATAGGCTTCAGTCTGTTAACTCAGCTGAGTTTTTGGCCAGACTTGAAAAGATTTGGAGCTGCACTGCCCCGCAGCCAGCAGGCCTAACCGAGGCAGGACTTATGGTTTGCAAATGAAAGCTAAATGCCCACTCAGGCCGCCCTGGTGCTAGACCTGACTGGGTGCGGCGTGGGACCAGAGCTGCACCTCACATGTGGGTGCAGCAGCTGCAGGTGGAGCCTGTCCACGGGCAGCGGAAAGCACGGCCCGTGGGTATCTTTAGGTCTTCTCTGCCGTCCACCATGCAGCAGGAAGGCAGACTGGAGGGCTTGGGTGGACTCACTGGGTCAAGCTGCAGCCACAGCTCTCCATGCCTCAGTGTCCTTTTCCAGAGCCACAGCCAGGCCCCTGGGTGTCAGGAGAAGCAAAGCAGACCCCAGAGCCAGTGGGGGAGGGGTCGGCCCTTCTGCCAGGGTGGGGACACAGCAACAAGAGGAGGCACGCTTCCTGAGAGCAGCCGCAGGGAGCACTGAGCTGGGCAGTGGGCCTCCGGAGCCCAGCTCTGTCCTGTCTCGACCTCTTTAGACGAAGGCTGTCAACTGCTTTAGTCACCTCATGGTTAAAGATTAGTGAGGAGGTGGTGTCCTTGAGTTTCCCTGTGAGCCTCACCAGGATCAGCCCCTGCCCCCGAGTGTGGCACAGACTCGGGGTATCCCCTGCCACCTGTGAGCTCACCCCAGCTGGCCACCCCTGCTCATCTGGTCACATCTCAGACTACGAGGACCCATCTCATGGCTCCCTTCTCCTGTTTTCCCACCTCTGCTGGGAAGGGTGTGCAGCTGGCCCTTCCTGCAGTGCCTGCGGCAGGGATGGCATCCTGGTGACCAGCCCTGAGCAGGCGGACAGCCGTGGCAGGATGAAGCCACAGGAGGGTCCCAGCAGGTTCTCTGGGGACAGGGGCAGCCACAGCACACAGCAGAGCCGCTGCCCGTCATCCCCCTGCCTTGGCTTGGCCCTAAAGCCAGGCTCTTTGCATCTAGGAGGGGAATAATCTGGCTCCTTTGGCAGCCTATAGGCCTGGCCTTCCCAGGACAATGCTGTCCCTGGGGTCCCAGGGCAGTTGGGGGCATCTCTCCCAGCTGTTGCCTGGGTCCAATGAGACGGCTGCACTGAAGCCTCCAGAACCGAACTGGGCTGGCACCCCGTGCAGACAGCAGCCGGTCTTCAGGACGGGGCTGCAAGGTGGAGGTGCTCTTTTGACATTTGGAAACTCAGAACCTAGAGGTTCCATCTTTGAAAAGGACAGTCCTGGCCAAACACACTCAAGAATGTCTTCAGTCCTGTGAAGGCGTTTCAGACTTGCTTTGATGATGAAGCGTCATGATCTCCTGGTGGAAGATCCCTCCCTCCCCATGGCGGGACCAGTGTCTATCAGGCGGCCTCTTGCCCTTGCAGTGGACAGAAGCCTCACAGGCCTGGGCTGGGGATGAGGACGGCACAAGCACAGGTTTCCTGCCAGCTCTGGGGTTCCAAAATGAGTAGTCAGGAGTCAATTTGAGAAGTGCTCCTTGAGTGACGTTATATGAGCTTGTGAAGGCCCAGGCCCTGGTGGCCGCTCAGCAACCCCCTGTGCACAAGGGACACACCTGGATATGGCTGCTTTGGGGCCCAGGCCCAGCCAGGTGCCCACAGAGACTTCTCTGCAAACCTAGCAGTGTCTGATTTCTGGCTCTCACGTCAAGTGGGCCTTAGAAATAACCATCTAGGGTAACAAAGTAAGTCCGTGCATACTGTTCGCTGGTCGGAGTAGAAGCAACTAGCAGGGCTGATGAGCTGTCCCCTGGGGTTGGGGTTCATGGTCACTCCTCCTGGGCCACCCCAGTCCACTAGTCAAAGCTTTCAGTTAAATGCAGTGTGGAAAGCCCTAACTTGAGGAGACCTGACTCTTAATTCCTCTTAACCTCATTTTGCTAATTGTAGTATGCCCTCTTAGCTGTAGTCATAGCGGCAGGGGTGGGCTCAGGGCAGGGACCCAACAACCTGACATCCTTGAGCTCAGAGCCTGGGGGTAGTAGAGAGAAGAGCGCCTCAGAGAGGGCAGGCACACAGTGGGACTCTGGGGCCGTCACTCTCCGCTTTCTACTTAGTGTGTCTCGGCATGTCTGAGAAGGAAACCAGCCCAGGTGTGTCTTGTGTCTGTTCTGATGAAGGGCAGATGTGAGGCTGCACAGTGCCTCAGGGGTGGTGACAGTAACCATGTTTCCACAGGTGGATAGTGACACCATATGGAATGAGGTGCACTCATCAGGGGCAGCTCGTCTGGCCGTGGGCTGTGTGGTGGAGCTGGTCTTTAAGGTGGCCACTGGAGAGCTGAAGGTTAGTGGGGGCCCTGGCAGAGCTGGGCTGCAGAAGGCGGGTCCAGAGAAAGGGTGGACCCTTCCCACACTGGGGAAGATGTGCAGGTCAGAGATTCTCAGAGCTCAGTCTTGGGAACCTCTATGCTCTACCAAGCGCTGAGGACCTAAGGAGCTCATTTCCCTGTCGTGCCCTGTCGGCCACATTACAGATTAAAACTGAGGAACTTTTAAAATACTGTGTTAAAGCACCAGTAGCATCTGGCATAGTGGACGGTGGCATCAAGCACTCCTGTCTTGTGTCCGTCTGTGGCCACACCTTGAAGCACGGGAGCATCATGGCCTGGCATGGGTGTGCAGCTGGAGAGGCAGAGGTGCTCGACAGCCTGTGCTAGGCAGCTGGCGACAACTCTGGAGACCACGTCTGGGCCTCACCTCCAGCGCTGGGGACAAGCCCAGCACCCTGGGACTGGCTGCAGACCTTTACCCGTGAAATCCCCATCTCCTGTAGCCACAGAAGTGCTCCCTTTTTGAGACCGTGGCCTCACGGCCCATCTCACCAAGAAGTCCTGGAGCGCGGGGAGAGTTGTCCCACTTGCAGTGCAGACAAGGTCTTAAAACGAGTTGTTTTCACTCAGAAGCTCGGGTTCTTATCACGGACAGCCCCTGCCTGCTGCACCTTGGAGGGCGCCCAGTGTCCCTGTGCTGGACAGCCTGTCTTAGGTTACCCAAGTCAGAGCTCCAGCAGTCTGCTTCTGCCCTTCTTGCAAGGCAAGAGGGTGCCCTGAGCCAAGGAGCTCGCTCAGCTCCCGAGACCAGTGGCACTTGGCCTTCCCCAGTAGTCAGCGCATGCTGCCCCCAGGGGGCCCTGTACGCCTTTCTGGTTTTGCACCAGGTTCTGCAAGCCATGTGCACAGTGCGGAGATTGAATCCATGTATAAGTTTTACTGCTTCATTGAGGATGCTCTTGGGAGGAACGGCCTCCCCCTCCCTGCAGCATGCGGCAGCGAACGCCTGGGGGCTGATGCTGCTCCCTGCTGCTGCTGGCTTGGTCAGGCTCGAGCAGCCTGCCCTCCAGTGCACTGCACCATCCCCAGCTGTCCGTGCAGTGGGAAAGCAGATAGTGCCCAGGGGCCATGGGCAGCGTTGAGAGCCACTGCACAGCACAGGAACATAAATGGGTTTTGCAGAATTGAGTCTGAGGGCAGGGTCTACCTCAGGGTCTGCCTTGTAGCCTCACTGCCACTCTTCTCGTGTCCTGATCCTGGTCTCCGGAGCTGGCCAGCTCCTCACCCCCCAGCACAGTCATTAATTGTTGGTTGGTGGCCCTTTTTGAGACCTTAATATTATGGAGCTGACCACATGGCTCCCTGCTGCTGATGAGACACACATTGGAGCCACTTTTATTATAGCAGCTAGGAGGGGTTTACAGATGGCAAGAGGAGAGGCATGCAGCCATGCCAGTGCTGGTCTCTGAAGCACTTCTCTGGGGTTGCCCACTCCCCAGTCGTGCCTGTCAGGGCCAACGGGGGCAGCCCATGCCGGCAGGGCCCCTTCCCTTTCAGCCACATCCAGGTCTCCACCAGTGAGCACCAAGGGCGCCCCAACGGAGGTGCTGCAAGTCTGACCCGCAGCCCCGACAGCAGGAAGTCAAGGCAAGCCCTGGACTTGATCTGGGTGCCTGGCTTCCCCAGAGGCCCCGAGAAGCAGCAGGCCTCTATGCAGATGGCCCAGACTCCCTCGGAGGCCTCCAGCCAGTGCTGTGCCCAGGCCAGGCTACCAGGTGGCAGGGAGCGCCCCTGGTTCTCTGCGTCTGCTGAGAGTGCTTATCAGGTTTTCCGGAGGGTCTGAAACGGCTTTTACTCTTTTCTTGCCGTCTCCCTCCCACCCCACCCCCACCCCCGGTCTGACACCGTCTGCAGAACGGCTTTGCTGTGGTCCGCCCCCCAGGACACCACGCCGAGGAGAGCACACCCATGTGAGTGGGCATGGTGGGTGGGCGGGCAGGGCCATGGGTGGGTGGGTGCTCTTGGTCTCCCTTCCATGGCTACGGTAGCCCTTGCAGCTCAAGAGCCACAGGGCAGCTAAAGAAGGCGGACATTGGAGCCTGTTGGCCTCCCTGGTGGGCATGCTGGAAAGGCGTCAAATAAAAGAAGAAAAGGGGCAGGGTCCTTGAAAGCAGGACTAGCAAGGTCTCTGGAGGCCATTGGCCATGTGCTTTGGGAGCATGGCTTGCAGGGGCCAGTCCACGAGGCACCACTGTTCAGGGCATTCACCTGGGTGCACTGGCCGCCTCGTGCAGGACCTTAAGCTGAGATGCCACTGTTGAGTGCCAGGGAGGCCAGGCTGAAAGTTGTGTCCAAGGCCAGCCCAGGGCTCAGGGATCCTGAGCACTCACACATACAAGGGTCTGAGTGTGGATGCCACAGTGTTGAGGAGAGCCGCAGCCGCAAGGTCAGCATGGACTCTGAGAGCCTCACACCAGAGGCCGTCCCCACCCAGAGGAGGGCCACCCCTGCACGGAGGCAGGACAGTGCCCGGTCCTGCTGGAGGAAGGAGGAAGATATGGCATTGGAGCTGGGCTTGGGAAGGGCAGCAGCTGGCCTGCAGGCCAGACCGAAGTGCTTGCCAGGGAGGAGCAGAGGTGCAGCGTGGCTGGGGCAGGCAGACCTGGCTCTGGCAGGGGCTCTCTTTCTCAAGCAGAGAAGAGGTGGTGGTCTCCGGGAGGGAGCCCTGGCTGGAGGCTCTGGCCTTACCTGGAAAACCCTGTGGTTGTCGAAGCGCAGAGCCGGCCTGCCCGAGGCCCCAGCCTTCTGCGGCCTCGCTTCTCCAAAGTGACTTCCCTGATGTGAACCTGAGCTGTCGGGTTCCAGACAGCAGGGATGGGAACCGAGTCTGGCAGCGGGGTTCTTGGTTACCAGACGACAGCAGCCCAGCTGAGTCAAGGGGCTCGCGCCTCACTGGGGCTCCAGGACAGCCGTGCGACTGTCCTGTGGGGATTGAGAGCTGAGGTCAAGACACGGTGGCTTGTGCTTGAGCTGCCTTCGCTTACTTCTTGGTCTTGAGTAAGATCCTTCAGCTCACCGCTCGCACTGGGCCTAGCACTGTGATGGGCGCTGCGATGTGGAAGGGGAGCCCGAGCAGCTGCTCTGTGGGTGTAGGTGAAATGCAGGGGCCAGGATGAGCCAAGGCCGCTGAGGGGCCTCCCACCACGGAGTACAGCAGAGCCTCCAAGCAGGAAACTGGTCTGTGTCTGCGTGGTGTTGGCGTCTCTCGGCCCACCCCAGCTCAGGTGAGGTCCCCAGGCGCTGGTCTGGGGCCTTCTCCAGCGCTCTCTCAGAATCGCAGGACAAGAGGGCTCTGCCGCAGGCTGGGCACAGGTGAGAGTGAGTGCTGTCCGCTCACCTTCTGCAGGGGCTTCTGCTACTTCAACTCCGTGGCCGTGGCGGCCAGGCTGCTGCAGCAGAGGCTGAGTGTGAGCAAGATCCTCATTGTGGACTGGGTGAGTGGCGCGCCCCCTGGAGGAGCTTGCTTGCTGCAGAGCTGGGCGGGTGGGGCGGGGAGGGCGGGTCTTCATCTCCACCAGCTCTTGGCCTTGGGAGCTTTGTCTTGTGGCAGCTGCCTCAGAGACCAGAAAAGGAAAGCTCCACACCCGTCAGGAGTCCAACTGATGGCCTCTGCCAGTGGGCTGTGCGTCCTGGACCCCCTGCCTAGAAAGGAGCCTTGGCCCCAGTTGGGGCCGTCTGCCAGCCGGCCTGGAAGAGCTGGGCGGTGAGGGCCAAGCTCCAAGTCCTGTCCTGCCCTGAGCTGGTTCTCCATTCTCGCAGGACGTGCACCACGGGAATGGGACCCAGCAGGCTTTCTACAGTGACCCTAGCGTCCTCTATGTGTCCCTGCACCGCTATGACGACGGGAACTTCTTCCCAGGCAGCGGGGCACCTGATGAGGTGAGCATCAGGGTGGGGTTTCCGGGAGGCTCTGCAGGTGTGGGGCTGTGCAGCCAGGTGGAGGCCAGCCACCTGCCCATGCAGCAGAGCAGGGTCCCCATGGCTGAAGCCCAGATGGTCGTTCCAGGCAGACCCCAGGCTGGCTCCACACGTGTGTGCCAGGCCTCTCTCTCTGAAATACAGGAGACCCCGACTGGGCAAGCGGAAGTCCTCAGGACTGTGGGAGCGAGGCCGGGGCTCCTCCTCCAGGAAGGCCCTGCCCTGGGTCAGCCAGCCCTCCAGGCCCTGTCCTTATGGGTGCCCTCCCACAGGAGCCCACCCAGGCCTGTTGCCCCTCAGTGCTACGTGGCAGGCTGGGTCACAGAGCTGGCCTTGGCACTGAACAGAGGTCCTAGAGTCAGGAGAAGGCGCCCCAGCTCTAGGTCCCTGCTTGAGAAGAGGTGGGACATTTCCCAGGTGTCCTCCACCCAAAGACCCTGACGAGCTGCACATGGAACGGAGCAGCAGGGCCTCAGGAATGTTCCTGTGTGGGCCCAACAGGCCCCTCCCTGGCCCAGAGGCCAGCAGCAGCTCCCGTTCCTGCAGCTTCAGGGCCCGCGAGGCCTACAGTGCTCCATGGAAAGTGCTTCACCACTGACTCAGCGTGTCAGGGCCAGCTCTGCACACGCAGAGACATCCTGAGGGCCCAGGACACACAGGCTGTCCCTGTGGGGACCCCAAGACATGCCCCAGCCCAGTGCCACCTGCAGCAGGTGTTCTCCTGGAGGGTCTGTGACATGGATTTCTTTCCTTCTGGCCACAGGTGGGCACAGGGCCAGGCGTGGGCTTTAATGTCAACATGGCTTTTACGGGTGGCCTCGACCCCCCCATGGGAGACACAGAGTACCTGGCAGCCTTCAGGTGAGTCCCTGGGTTTTCCCAGCAGCCCTCAGCCTGCATGGAAGAGCTGTTACAGAGACCCAGTGCTTGGGAGCAGGAGTGGGACCCTGCAGGACCAGCTCAAGTGCCCAAGTGTGACCTCTGGGACTGTCCACTTACTTGTTCCTAGTTTCCCATGTGCCAAATAAAAGGACTACATTTGAGTCCTGATAGTAAGAAAGGGAGGGGACAGAGGTGAGGGCTTGCCGGCAGAGGGGAGGGTACTAGGGTCACTAGTGGGAAGACCTCCCTGTTGGCTGTTCTCTTCCCCCGTGCCATGCTGTGAGATGAAGTGAAGGCTTTTCCTCCACGCGCAGAGGTCAGGAGGCAACACCCTGCTCTCATCCACCTCCGCGCCCGCCCTCTGGTCGGCAAGCCTGGCGGCAGGCGGGTGTTGGCTTTTGTCACCCGAGGTCACAAACTGAAGCAGCTCCTGGGAGAAGAGAGGAGGGCCGGGCAGTATGGCGTCCTCACCAGTGTCAAGTGGCTCTTCTGCAAGGGCAGTTTCTGCCCCCCCCCCCCACCGTGCTGCGGGCTACCAGTGAGCAGTCACAGCCCCAGTGGGTTCTGGGCCCTTGGTTCTGGTCTGGCTGGGCCTGGCAGACCTTCAGTCGGTGCGTGGCTTCCAGATAATCTCACCGACTCCCCTGCTGTGCGCACACAGGGCAGTGTGCAGGACTTACCCGGGATTCCTGGCCGGGTGTGTGTACAGCTCTCTGTGTGTGCCTGCCTGCAGGTGGTGTCCACATCCTGTGTGTTTCTGCATGGCGTGTGTGTGCACGTGTCTACCCCACACAGGTCCATGGCTGTGTGCACATGCCTATGTGACATGTATCTGGGGATGTGAGGACATGTGCAGGCGTGTGCATGTCTGGGTGAGACTGCACAGCCACACCTCCGTCAGAGTTTCTATGCAGACTGCCCCGTGCTCTGGGTACTCTGGGTCAGTCCCATGCTCACCCTGAAGCAGATCCTGGCTCCAGTTCCCATGGGAAAGGTGGTTGGGTCTGCTGGTGCGAGTCCCCTGGTCACCTGTGGGTGACACAGAGGAGGTCGGTGGCAGCCCACGCTAATGCCCATCCGCTGCCTTCCCTCCAGCCCACCTGTGCACGTGGTGTCCTTCCTGCCCCTGGCCAGCAGTGTGTAATGCTGACCCTACTCCACCTCAGGTGAGACACCTGAGATCTGCACTGAGAGCTGAGCATGTGAATTGTGTGTCACATGTCCCATGCTGGGCCACTTGGCCATCGCCCTGCTAAGAATGGGCTCTTTGCAAGGCCGCTTAGGAGGTGTGAGTGCAGCCTGAGCCACATGGGCGTGCCACCTGGGCCATGGGGGCGTGCCACCTGGGCCACGTTGCCAGCAGCCGAGTGCCCTGGGGACCCTCTGCCTCAGGTTCTTCCTCTCAGAAGCCTCAGGAGCAGCGGCGCCTGGCGGGATTCTCAGTTGTGCGCAGGCCTCTGGGGTGGAAGGAAGGGTGCAGGCCACACCTGGCCCGCCCTGAAGATGCACTTCCTCCCCAGGTGCTCTTGACGTCTGCCCCGTGTCCCACCAGGCATATGCGTGATGGCACCTGGTGGAGAGAGCTCTTGGAAGCTTCAATGGCCTCTTTGAAAATGAAAATTGTTTCAGCATTTTTTTATTGATTTAGATGTAAAATAGCACTTTGAAGTTTACAATTTATGGTTCCCTGGGCACTGGACGGGGAGGAAGGGTCAGAGGCTGGTTTTCCCTTTTCTTCTTCAGCCGGCCCCTGCTGGGCGGCCCCACGGGACAGTGCCTGCCTCCAAGGCATCCCCTTGTTGTTCAGACCCGTGGCCTGCGAGGTTGAGCTTTCAGGGCATCAAGCCTCGGATGAAGAAAAGATAAGAAAATTGCTACTAATAAAATCCAGGAGCAGCCGACACTCTCTCCTCAGGCTCAGAGACTCGGAGAAGAAAAGGACCTTAATTCAAACCAGCCCCAGGGCCAGACAGGGCTTTGAAGTCTGCGCACACAGGCCGAGTGCCCCGGCTTGGGTGCAGATGGCGGTGTGCGTTCTTGAGCCCTTCCCCTGTCACTGGTGCGTTGGAGTTGGGGTCAGCTCTACGCAGGGTGGATTGAAGTGTGGCCTTGTAAAGCCCCTCGGATGTCTGTAGATCTGGGTGCTCTGGAGTGGACAGGGCCTTCTCACTGAGTGGCCATGGGCCATTCTACTCCCCATCTTCCAGGTTGTAGTGTGACAGTCACGGCCCCTGAACTCCGGGCACTGTCAATGCCTGCCACTGACTTCAGATACCTGTCTCTGACTGGAGAAGCACAGGGCGGCAGGATTTTGACTGTCCAGAGTGTGCCTCGGGTGGCCTTGGCAGCCACAGCTCTGAGTCAGCAGTGGCCTGTGAAGGAAGTCGGGTCCTCTGCTTCCTCAAGGCAGCAGGGCCTCCACCAGGACACACAGGTGTTTCCTATGTACAAGTTTACTTGGGGACGTGGCAGAGTTATTTTAGAAGCAAAAAATTTAAGTAGAACTCCCAGAGTTGAGAAATCTCCTGCTTCACTGGCCATGGTGGACCTGCATGGCCCTGCCTGCCCACCAAGGTCCAGACAACGGAGAGAGCCTTGGAGGGAGGCCGGCCCTGGGCAGCCAGAGGCTGCACACAGTGAGTTGGTGATGACCCCTTAGCCCTCTGCCATGTGCCCAGGAAACTTCCCGAGGAGGGGGCTTGGTGGGAAACGGCCTGGACATGCCTGTCCAACTTGGTCCTGACGGCTCTGCGAGGGCTGCTGGTGCCCAGTGGCGGGTCTGCCTCCTGGTGGCCTGGCTGAGGTACCAGACATGGCGACAGAGCCTGAGGAGGAAAAGCCCACGGGGCAGCGGGTGCCAGGAAGTACAGGGTGGGCAGGTGTCCAGTGGTCTCCAGCTGCGGGCCTGCAGGAGGTGCAGGGCACCAGGTGGAGAACATTTCGGCTGGGGACACAGGGACCCTTGGACTTGGACTCCAGGAGAGTTGAGAAATAGTGAGCAAGTGTCCATCTGAGTTGGCAGTCGGATGACCAGGAAGGACAGATGCCCTGGTGTGAGAAGAGAGACAGCACAGGCACTCTCCTGAGAGCCTGGGGAGACAAGCAGGTAGAGTCCAGCCCGTGGAGGCGAGGGTCGGGCCTAGCGGAGGCAGCCGGATGTCTGGGTGGGAGGGGTGCTGAGGAGTGGGAGTCCCGTGGGAGGCAGGGAAGCACCCTACAGTGGGGGCTGCTGCCGGGATCCAGTTGTTGCTGGGCCTGAGGACACCTAGGGAGCCCAGGGACTTTCCTGGCATGAACTTCATTTAATGATGATTTTAACAGGACTTGGTCGTGGAGGCAGGATTAGGGATTCAGTAGCTCAGCAGATCCAAAGCAGAGCTGAAGCCCACCTCAGCTCTACAGAGCAGCTGTGGGGGTGCTGCGCGGGTGACACGGTGTCTGCACACACGCCTGGGGTTTTCAGTGGAAAGGCGTCCCGGCTTGGCTGTCCCCAGCAGAAGCAGGAGGCACTGTGCTGTTCTGCTTGAAGAAAGAGGTTATGTGACAAGAACTCCATTAAGATAATTAGAAACCAGGCCCCTGGGACTGTCTGGATGGCGGAAGCAGGGAGGGTGGCCTCAGAGGCCTGTGGAGCATGCCCTGGAGACGATCCCACACCACCAAGGCCACCTCCACCCTGCTGCCAGCCAGGCCACCAAGGCTGCAGCTGAGCCACCCAGGAAGGACTGCTGACAAGGTCCATGCATGGCTGGGCAGGTGCTCTGCTCAAATGTCCCACACTGTGCAAAGCAGCAGTCAGCTTGCTGTGACAAGCCCTGATGGGCAGGTAAACACCTCCTGCCTCTGGGGCTGGGTCCTGTGTGAGGAGCAGGACGGAAGCCGTGTGGGGCAGAGGTGGACAGACTGCAGCCCGCGAGCCGGTCCACAGGTTAGCTTCCCATGTTTGCATGCCATCTGTGGCTGTTTCCACAGCGACCTTGAGTGGTCCTGGCTGAGGCCACGTGGCTCCACGACTAACCATCGACAGTCAAGCCTTTGGCAGGAAACACCTGCTGACCCCGGCCTGGTAGTACCCAGTGAGCTGCAGAACCCTAGTGATGGCCCTTGGAGCACCCCCATACCCACACCCACATCCTTCCCTGGATCCTTCTCCCCTGCTGCGGAGGCTGCCGGTACAGGTGCCCTCAGAAGGAGGAAGAACAGGGACAGAAGGAGCTTCCTCGACATCATGTCGGCTCTAGGTGAAAGTCCCAAAGCCAGCCACACAGTACACGGGGAAAACTGAAAGTGTCCCTTTAAATCCTGGGACAGCATGCAATTCCTAGAGGAAAAGGCAGGTCAGCACTCCGGCTTTTAGGACCCCTGCAGCTCGGGGAAGAGTGCCAGGAGTTAATAAATGCCATGGCAGGCATCGAACTAAAAAGATTCTGCAGCAAAGGAAGGCTCAGGAATGGGAAGACGGAGCCGACAGAATGGGAGGAAATCTGAGCCAGCTGCTCTCTGACAGCAGATCGATATCCAGAATATATAAAGAACTCAGAACAGCACCAGGAAAACACCCCTAATAAATGGGCAAATGAATTAAACAGACACTTAAAAGAAGAAACACAAATGGTAACAAGCATGAAAAACAAATGTTCAACATCGCTAGCCATCAGGGAAATGCCAATCAAAACAACACCGAGACTTCCTCTCACACTGGTCAGCATGGCTGCCATCAAGAACACAAAACAGGGCAAATGCTGGAGAGGATGCGGAGAGAAGGGACCCTGCACACTGCTGGTGGGACTGCAAATCAGTACGACCGCTACGGAGATCAGTACCGAGGTTCCCCAAGAGACTGGGCACGGAACCCCCATGTGACCCAACCGTACCACTGCTCAGGGTTTATCCTGAGGAATTCAAGTCCTCGCACCATGTGAGACACACAAACCTGTGTCTGAGCAGCACAGCTCACAGCAGCCAGACAGACCATGGGCCCGCCTAGGTGTCCATCAGCAGGTGATGGATAAGGAAAGGTGCTGGAGACACACACAATGGAGTTGTATCCAGCCTTGAAGAAGGAGGAAATCATGGCATTTGCAGGAAAATGGGGAGAATTGGAGACCACTATGTTAAGCAAAATAAGCCAAAACCAGAGGGTCAGGAGTTGGATATTCTCTCTTGTGAGAAAGGTAGAGAGGAAAAAAAGGTCGGGAGTAATCGCATGAAAATCCAAGGGAGAGCAATAGAGGTAGGGACCAGGGTGGCAGGCGGGAGGGAGGGGACTACTGGGGAGTGACAACACCCAGGTTATATTGTCACATTGTGTACATGTGAACATGTGCAACACAAACCCCGTGTCATGTTCAACTGTGAGGCACCACTAAGAAAGCGGGGAAGAAGAGGAGGAGGAGCAGCACGCAGCAGCTGCTGGGAAGCCCGGGGCTCTTCTGCCCGCCTGTTGGGGCGAGTGCCGCCACAGGCCCAGGTGGACTGGTGCTCTGCAGGCTGGCTTCTCGGCACCACAGGAGCTGAGTGAAGCCGCGTGGCCTGCTGTGTGCCGGGCACACACCCTTTGCTGCTGTGGATGCTCACCCTGAGGCTTGTTGCAGCGGGCACACGTGTCCCCTGGCATTGGGGGTGAGGCACCGTAAGAGGGTTGTCCCTACTGCTCCTGCAGAGAGTGGTGGCCTCTCACTCCCACCCTCGGAAGCTGGATCAGTCTACACTGGGCCTGAACGTCCATCACTGGCTCCCCTCAGCCAGGGTCCATGCCTCCGACTCCCCTGGGCTGAGGGAGAAGCCAGAGCGCCTGGTGTCCGGCCCAGCACCTGCCGCAGACTCATGCCACTGGGGTCCTCAGAGGAGGGAACGGCACAGCTGCAGGGCACCTTCCTGGGCCTGTGCCAGGAGCACAAACCCAGGTGCTCACCTCCCTCTCAGGGCCACTGCTGCCTCCTGGGAAAGGGGCCTTGATGCCACCCACCTGCTCCCCGGGAGACTGAAATGGGTGATGCTCATTGGCCAGCACAGCCACCCCAGCGGCACCTGAACCTGCGTGGCTCCGTGGCTCCCTGGCCCAGCCGTGTCACAGCACGTGCCATGTGCCATGCTGCTCAGCTGCACGCTGACGGGCTGCTGTGTGCTTAGCTGGGGGTCCACTTCCCAAGCGGAGTGCCTCAGCAGGGTCCCCGACCCTCCCCACAGAGCTGACACATGCTCACCCCTTCCAGAGAGCTCTCGTAGGTCGTCAGCTTGTCCCCAACCACCCTCAGAGTCCATTTTGTTTTGCACTCAACTTTGCATGTGGGTGTGGTCCCTGGTTGTGTGCTTGGGACCTCGGCAGGGGCAGGAAGTCCACACGGGCTGCCTCCCAGCAGAGCTCACGGTGCCAGGACCTTGACCATGCTGTGTGGAATGAAAGCCCCGAGAACTGCCTTGTCCTCGTCCCTGGGCAGCGGGCAGCCTGAGCCCGTGAGCCCAGGCAGGAGGAGGAGCGGCTCGGGGCAGGGCTGGAGGACTCACCACACAGGCACGTGGCTGTACCCCTGCCTCCCCGTGTGCACGCGGCCAGGCCGTGCTGGTTACAGACGGCCTTCCAGTGTGTGCAGGGAGCAGCCTGCCACGCGGACCTGGGCTGTGGCTCTCCTGCAGAGCTTGTCAGCCTGGGTGGAAGAAGTGAAGTGTACCATGGTCACACTTGGTAATCTCCTTCCCATTGACCGTGAGTAGGCCAAGAGAAACCCTGGCCATGTGCTCAGCTGACCTGATGACCCTTCTCTGGCCCTGCAGGACTGTGGTCATGCCGATCGCAAGTGAGTTCGCCCCGGACATGGTGCTGGTCTCGTCGGGCTTTGACGCTGTGGAGGGCCACCCCACGCCTCTCGGAGGGTACACACTCTCTGCCAAGTGTAAGTGGGTGTGCAGAGGTCACCTTTGCTATGTCCCCCACTGACCACTTATGTTTATGACCCGCTGTGTTCCTGTGTTAGGTAACAGGACGAGACGGCACTACAACCCTCCCCAGCTCTGGGTCCCAAAGAGCAGAGAGCAGCTGCGGGGCTGCGGGGCTGCGGGGCAGGGAACCCCACCTGTGCCCTCAGGGCTAGCTGCCCGGGAGCCAGGAGCCAGAGCACATGGGGCTCGGTCACAGGGACATAGGCGCCTGAGGAGCACGCAGGCCCCAGAGCTGCCCAGAGCTGACACCTGCTCTGGCATGTTTGTTCTCTGGTGCTGCTATGCCATGGGAGACGAGGGACGTGGGTGGGGTGGGGCTGGGAAGGAAGGCCACGTTCCCGAGCCCTGCCTCAGACACTGGCCACACTTACAGTGCTGGAGGAAGGACAGCTGGAGAGCTCTGCCCGTGACGATTGTGGCCTCCCTCTGTGCTGTCACAGAGACTGGTTGCCTCCCCACTGACAAGGAGCTTGGAGATTGTTCTGTGGCTGGAGCTTCTCAGGGCCATGAGGCCTGTCCTGGTGACTCCCTCAGGGCCCCAGCTCCCCGTGAGCTACTCCTGCTTCTTGCCCTCCATTGGTGCAGAAGGTTAGGGTGGACGTGAACGCACCAGGGCTGGAAAGGTGGAAGCTAGGTGGCCTGAGGGTGGCTGCCCTTTAGCACAGGCCTCTTAAAGCCCATCTGCCCTAGCCATGGGGCCTGGTGGCTAACAAAGTGACCGGGCAGAGGCAAAGAGCGCCACTGTGCCTACCTCTGCAGTGTCACCCAGGGTGCCCTCCTGCCACAGTTCTCCAAGGAGACCCCAAGAAGCTTGCAAGCCGTGGCACTGTTTCCACCAGACAGACCAAGTCTTCTGGAAGTCGGGCCCACCATGACTTGCAGCTGGCACAGGGCCAGGCCAGGATTGTGGCCACTGGTTCATTAGGGTTCCTCTGGCTCTGTAGCCAGCCAGCCTCCATGGCTGGTGACTATTGCTGCCCACCAGGTGCCCTCTGCCAGGCTGCTGCTGTGGGTGCAAGGGAGACTGTGACTTGCCCCCAGAGCAGATGCCCAGACGTGGTGTAGGAAAGCCCTGTGTGGCACAGGTGGCCTGGGCAATACTGTGTGCAGAGCACATCAGTTGCCAGAGGGCCCATGGGCCTCAAGCAGGATGATACGCTGCATGGTAAAGTCTGAAGCCACGACTCACTCGGATCCCAGGGACCCTGCGACCGTCACTCCCCCACGGTCTCTGCTGGTGTGGCGTCCCTGCCCGGCCTTCCTGGGAGGCTCTGACCCACTGCCCAGCTTGGCCTCCCTGTGAGTCCCTTTCCTGTTGCAGGTTTCGGGTACCTGACGAAGCAGCTAATGGGCCTGGCTGGTGGCCGGGTCGTGCTGGCCCTCGAGGGAGGCCATGACCTGACGGCCATCTGTGACGCCTCTGAAGCCTGCGTGTCTGCCTTGCTGGGAAACGAGGTACGCAGACCTAACCCCCCAGAATGTTTCGTGCCACGGGTTCCAGGCCCGTGTGCCCAGGAGCTCCGGTCAGGGGACGCGGAGTCTGTGACCCTGTGGGCCGCTTCACTGGGCTCTCAGTCCCATGCTGAATTCTGTCCCCCACTGTCAGAATGGTCGCTGCGGTGGCAGCAGCAGGAGAGGGTGGGAGGCAAGCAGACCCTCCGTCTGCAGGCGCTGCTTGCCCACTCCCCGCCATCTTGGTCACCTTGAGGGCATCGTGGTGGGAGGTCTGGCCTTCTCTAGGCTGCTGGCCCCTTTGTGCCCAGTTGGTTTCTGTAGGAAATTCTCAGCCAGTTTGGAGTCACGTCTGTGGGTCCACAGCCAAGTCAGTGTCTCAGGGATGGACAGGCCCCTTCACCCAGAAGCCTCTTCTGCCATCTGAGAGCCAGGGTCAGGGATGGTGGTTGGAGGCCAGTGTGAGGTCACCTGTGGCCTGGGCTCCATGAACTCGCGGAGGATGGGACTGGCCCAAGCTGTGTTCACCATATATTGGGAGCTGTGGCCTTACCCTGCCCACTGGGCTGCACACCAGGCCCCTAGTAGGAACACTGTAATGGCAGAACCATCCAAGAGTGTCCATGGTACAGGGCAAGACCCCAAATGTGCAAGGCCACACCTATGTGCAAGACCCTGAGCTTGTGTCATGGAAGGTCAGGTTCAGGCATCCTGGCCATGTTGTATGGGGGAGAGGTCACCCACAGACCTGGCTCTGAGGACACCCCATGGAGTCAGAACTGTGGGCTGCAGTCCTGGGCTCGGGCCTCTGGCCATTTTCAGAGCCAGCGGAGAAGCTGGCAGGGGTCCGTGTGGGTGGGGCAGGGCGCCAGCAGCCCTGTCCTGTCTGGCAGCTCTTCCCTCGTCCTGGGCAGCCCTTGTTTTGATGAGAATCTGGGGGGACGGAGATGCGAGTACGTCCTGTTGCTGGAGCCTGCCCAGTGACCCCTGGGGTGAAATAGCAGCTGCCTCACTCTAAAGTGTCCAGAATGTTCTCTTCGTCCTTCTTCACGTGATCGTCTTCTGACTCTTCGCTGTAGTTCAAGGCCAGCCCTGCGCTTCTCAGAGCTCGTGACTGAACTCCCAGCAGAGAGCTTGGCTCCCAGCCCGGCCCCTTCTTGCTTCCTCATGCGTTTGCTCTTCTAACAAGAAAATGTTCTTTCACTTATACACATCAAACAGCAGGAAGCGCTAGCTTTACTGAGGGCTCTGTAAAAACCTCTTTAGTTCAGGAGCGCTGAGCCAAGCCCCGCTATTCTGCCCTGCGGCCTTTGATGAGGGTTGATGTACAGCGTGCTGCATGATTTGGCAGTACACACCAGGCGACCAGCTGTGGCCAGCAGCGGCCGCAGGGAGTTCAGCTGCTGGCGGACAGCAGCCGAGAGAGGCACCCTGCATCCTGCTGGGGCAGCGGTCTCCCGCCTCCATCTTCAGGCCTGCTCTCCTGCAGCCTTGCCTGGACTGGTTCTGGTTTACAGTTGTTTGCAGCCGTCACTGAGGATGACTGGGAAGCCACCCAAAAGATGCTGGACTCTGCTGAGTTGGGGTGGGGCCCAGAGCTGTCAGCCACCTTCCTGGACTTGCTCGCAAGTCCTGCTGCAGCGGGCAGCAGAGGTCCCCGGAGCGGTCTGCAGAGAAGGCTCCTGGTTGGTCCGGGAGACCGTTTCTCCTGTGGGAGGCTGTCCCCAAGGTTGGCGCTCATCGGGCCCACTGCCTGTGTGCCACCACTTTACTTGACCCTGCTCCAGGGTCAGTGGCGGACACTGATGCAGGAGGGTTTCATCCAGGCGTTTAGCTCTTCTGTGGTGTCCTGGTACTTTGCAGGAGTTGTGGACGTGGAAAGCCGCAGGAGCCTGGGAGAGAGTGGCCAATGCATTCTGTGGCCAATGCATTCTGCGGCCAGCTGTCTCCTCCAGGGGGTCCCTTGCTCTCACACACGGGCTCAGCACAGAGGCTGCCTGCCTGCACGGGGTCCCTGTGTGTGTCAGGCTCCCTCCTCCCACTGGCCACTGTTCAGAGCTGGATGACCACCACCTGCATATCTGGGGCCCTCAGCCCTTGCCAGTCTGACTTGGGTGCGGGAGTCGTGGCCCTGAGCCCTTCAGGGCTGGCTCCGTGTTCTGCTCCACATGCTCCCTGTTGCCCAGCATGAGCGAGTGCCCTGCCGTTCCCCAGCCTCTCCCAGGAGGCAGACCTGGGCAGCACAGGGGTGTGCTCTCACAGCCAGCAAGCTCCCGGAGAGGCTAGTGCTGTCCACCCTGGGCGTCGCAGCCTCCTCCTCCCAGGCGGATCCCCGCCCCTCTGAGGAACCATGGGCTTCTCTGTCCGCTCTGCGTCTCAAGGGCTGGCTGGGCCGTGCCCACTAGGCCCCAGCAGTCCTGCCCTGCCGGGACTGTCACCTCACGTCATGGGTGCGGACGCTGAGGCTTGAGAGAGCCCCTTCACGTTGCGTGACTGGTGGGTGGCGAGAGCTGGCCTTAGTGTGGCCTCAGGACCCAGCGTCTAGACTAGTCAGCAGGGGTGTATCCTCCTGGGTTATGGACTGAGGCCGGGTTCTGCAAACTTTTTTTCCAAAAGAAACAGTAATTTTTAGCCCTTTCATAGTTTGTTTTTTAAATCTGTCTTTGTTGGAAGAGTACGGAGACCCGTGGCTGCCTGGTCCCTGGGCCTGTGGAGTCTTTCCTGTTCACCAGCCTGCAGTGCCCACACCCAGCCACCTGCTACCCTGGAAGGTGGGCTCTGGTGGCGCTCTCAGCAGCAGAGCAAGCCGCCCTCTGACCTCTCTATCAGCGGGGCCTGTGGGCCTGAGGGCCAGGCCTGGGGAAACACCGTCTGCTGGCCCTGCAAGTGCTCAGGGCAGCTGGACAGGCTACTGGGGCCCAGAGGAGGAGCAGTGAGAGCTGAAGGCCCAGCTGAGAGTTCCCCACAACAGCAGCTGCACCCCTGGTGGGAAGGTACAGGGTGAGGGAGAAGGAGCCTCAGGATGGCCGCCCATGCCTCGGCAAGAGGCCGAGCACGGAGGGCTAAGCAAGGGCCTGCTGCGAAGGCTGCTTGTCTCCCGAAAGTGGGGCAGAGGCAGCGCTGCCAGCTGATGGTCTGCGGGGTCTGAACTGGAGAGTTGGGTTACAGGATACTCTCAAACCTGACCAAGCCCGGGCCAGTGGCCGTGGACTCACCCTGAGCCTCTGGGCATGGCCATGTCCACTGCAGGGGTTGACAGCCTGCCGGCTGGCCCTGGAAGAAGCTTCTGGGGGCGCCCAGGTTCAGGTGCCCAGAGGACCGGCAGACTTGGCAACCGCATTGTTGGAGTCCATTAAGGTGGCAGGTGAGGTCGTCCCGCTCGACCCAGATGTCCCAACAAAGTAGAGCCGTGTGTCCTGGAAGCACCAGCTCTGACCAGAGTGCTGCCGGGGAGCTGTGAGGCCTCGGAATGCTCTTCACTCTTGACTCCATTCCATATGTGATGAAAGACAGTCGGAGCTCCCGGGTCCCAGCCTGGCCAGCAGCCCTCCCTCCCGCATCCAGCAGGGCCACCCTAGCCAGCCGCACGCTTCCTGTCTGTTCTGTTGGTCCTGGGAGTGGCTGGCACTGGCCACCTGTCTCTGGGCTGGCCGTGGGCGGGCCTCTTCACCTCCACAGCCCTCTGCTGCGTGGTCACCATCCCCGTCTGCTCCCCCTGGAAGCCAGGCTCTTGGGAAGAGCCACTTTCCTGTCTCCTCCCAGGCCTGGAATCCACAGCTCAACCCCATTCCTCAAAGCTGTCCTCCCAGGAGGCCGGACTCCCGCCCGCCCCCCCCCCCCCCGCCCCCATCCTCCGAACGGCATGCAGGCTGTGGTCTGCAGCCCCTGTCCTGAGCAGAGCTGCGAGGACCGTCAGTCCCTGTGGACTCCTGGTCTCTCCCCATCCCTCCCTGGGGTCTCTTCCTCTGAGCTGAGAGCAGCCCCTTCTCCCTACTCCCTTCCCACCTGGGCACAGTCTGCCAGGAGGGGCCCCTGCCCTGCTTCCAGGGCCACCCAGCACCCAGAGCCCTGTGGCTTCTTCAGTCCCCACTGCTTCTGGCTCCATCTGAGGAGGGATGGAGCTGCTGCCCACCCTGCGGCCCCACCTCCCTTTCTCCACTCCCCCTCCAGGAGCCTGGACTGGGCTCTTCCTGCTGCCCCCTGAGGCCTTCCTGCCCGCCCTGTCTCCAGGCCACCCTGACACTGCATGCAATCTAGCCTGCCTGCCCACCTCACCCCCGCACATCCTGCCGCTGCTTTCCCCGTGCACCTCGTCCCTCCTGCCACTCAGTGTTTGACTCGCCTACTAACTGTCCCAGGGTGTTGGCTCCCTCCCCCAGCGTGACGCTCTTGGTGGCAGGCGGTGTCGGGGGTTCACGCATCCCTAGTCTCCAGACAGTGGTCGGTGCTTAGTAGGCTGCTTGTAGGATTCATTAAACAAAAGAATAAGACCCATTAGGAAGGGGAGACCCCGGAACCCAGGACGTCATGCCCTTCCCTGCCCCTGGTCTTAGGAAAGGCCGGTGGCTCCAGAGCAGAGCCCCTCGTGTGGGCTGTCGACCGACCGTGGGCATGGGAGCGCCTCTGAAGCCGCCGCAGCACTGGGCCACATGAGCTTTGAGCCAGCGCCTGGATCACAGCCCCTCTTCCAGCCCCAGGCGTCCGGACACTCTCTGATGGGGACTGAGGAGCGCGGCTCAGCCACTGCTCCTGCCGCGTCCTGGGTTGGCATTCTCCCTCTCTGGTTTTCTGCCAGCCCAGAGCACCTCTCTGGCACAGCCTCGAACACTGCCCCTGTCTTTTCTCTTGGCTTTTGGTGACTGGCTGCCACGGGGAGATCTCCCAGAGCAGCTCAACCCAGTCCTGAGAGCTGTGCTCCCAGGAGGCAGGACTCCTGCTCCCAGAGCAGCTCAGGGACGTGCGGTTCAGGAGGACCGAGGACTCTGCTCTCGGTTTGCCCAGGCGCGGGCAACAGGCATGTGGCAGCTTGGTGCAGTAGCTCCTGTGTCCATTCTTTATAGGCCTGTGCCCTCTGCTGGGGACAGAGATCCGTGAGCCCCAGGTGGCCAGCCTGAGGGCAGCGTGGTACCTGTGGAAGGCAGGCCCTGGGTGCTGGGAAGGACACAGAGCTACGCAGGCCGTGCAGAGGCAGGCCTCGTGGCCTGGGAGGCACAGACAGGACTGTGGGAGCCTGCCGCCGTGCCGGGGAAGACCCAGGGTCCTCGCAGATCGCCCGGAGCGCCCTGTCAGCGCTGAGCGTGCAGGTGGCACCCCCCAGAGCAAGTTGGCAGGTTGGGGAGCTGAGGGGTGCTGAGGGGCTTTTTGTTAACGGGGTCTCACTATTTCACCCAGGCTGGTCTCGGATTCCTGGGGCAAAGGGTCTTCCTGCCTCAGCGTCCCGAGTGCTGGGACCACCCCGCCCAGCTGAGGGACTTCTGTGTAAGATGCCGAGTTCTTCATGTAGAGTTACACATTTTAAGGTTTTTAGGTGAGAATGTTTTGTGAAGTGCTGTAGCTGTGGTCCTGACAGCAGCATCCAGGGTGGGTGACCATGTGCTGTCACTGGTCTGCAGCAGCTCTGACCCCAGAGTCCGAGGCCTGTGCTTTGCCCCTGCTGAGGGGGCTGGGGCTCTGCTCGTGCGTCCACCTGCACGAGGGACCAGGTGGACCGGTGCTGAGATCCCATATTGAGTAGGAATGACGCATGGCATTTTTGGTTGAAAGGTGACGGCCAGCAAGCCATTGAGATGATAATGGTTATGTTAAGATGTGTATTCAATTGGATATTAGACCCCTGCTGTCCACCTGGGCCTGCTACTTTTTTGAGGGGATTCCCGGAGAGTTCCCATTGGTTGGGGAAGTGCGGGAGGAGGGATTTCCAGTTGGTATGGTGTGCATGGCGTTCGTGGGAGTTTTAGAAATAAATTTTGTTCCTGCTTGAGTGGCTCGCGATTTTGTGCCCGGCCACACTGCGGCAGACCGGCACCGTTGGGCGTGGCTATCTCTGTGGTGGAAGCACATGGCACTGCTCCCTGCCGATGCCGCCCTCCTCCCACTCCTGGGTGGCTCCAGTCTGCCTGCTGCAGAGCTCTGGGCACTCCCATGAGCCCTTTGAACTGGGAGGCACCCAGGAGAGGCAGCAGTGGTCCCAGCAAGTGCCTCGTCCACCTCGACCGAGGGCTTTGAAAGTCATTCCAGCCCGAGCCTGGCCTCCACATCCTGGCTTCTGAGGCCAGTGTCTGTCCACCTTGCTGTTGGCCTTCTCTTCCTGGGAGGTCATGGGCTTGTTCCCGCTGTGCTTGGTGCTCCCTGTTAGTTCTTGGGGCCGCGAGGTAAATGGACAGCAAGGGGCCACCACGCTTGGCCTGAGCCGCCCCCCTCCCCCATGGCGCGACCCGTGGAACACTCACAGGTTCCACAGGTTCCACAGGTAGTGCCATCAGGAGGCACGTTGTCTCTGGACGTGTGGCTAATGCCACATCCTCTGTGCTCACTGTACCTTACCTTTTTTCAGCTAGAGCCTCTGCCAGAAAAGGTCTTGCAGCAGAGACCCAACGCCAACGCTGTCCGCTCCATGGAGAAGGTCATGGAGGTCCACAGTAAGTGCCCGCCGTGTGGTTGCGGGGTCCCTTCTGGACGCAGGACTCCACGGTGCCCCGCCCCTCGTCCTGTCAGCTGCCCCCAGGCTGCCCACTCGGGCCCCGCCTTCCCGCGGTGGGTGCGCTGACAGAGACTCGAGCCTGCTGGCCTGCCCCAGAGCCTACTGGGACAGTGTCGTCATGGACTCGGACGGTGTGCCACGCAGTCCCTGGCCACATCCCCAGCAGCAGGAGCAAGCTTGGCTGGGCCTGCTCCTCAGCCCTGCGGAGGCCAGCACAGGCGCAGGCCCTTGTCCTCACACTAGCCTCAGTGGCCACCTGGAGGCGGGCCCACCTGTCTGGGCTGCACCAGCAGTGCCTACCCTTCTCAGAGAGCCCAGTGGGCAAGATGGTCCAGTAGGGCGTACACTCCAGAGGCCTGCTCTGGCCCCCACAGGACGTGGCTCCTGGCTCTGAGCCTCGCCACCGGGCTCCCCGCAAAGCTGCAACGCCAGCCCACACTCAGCACCTGCCTCCCACAGACTGGCAGAGGCGCTGGGGTGGGCCTGGTGCCCGTCCTGGGAGCACCTCGCCAGGCAGCTGAAAGGGGCATGCGTGAAGACGCTGTGTCTCGGGCCCAGACCGGGGCCCACAGGACCTGGCAGTGACCCTGTCCTGGTGCCTCCTCCCTTCAGGCAAGTACTGGCGCTGCCTCCAGCGCCTGTCCTCCACCGTGGGGCGCTCTCTGATCGAGGCTCAGAAGTGCGAGAACGAAGAAGCAGAGACAGTGACCGCCATGGCCTCGCTGTCCGTGGGCGTGAAGCCCGCCGAGAAGAGGTGAGCGCCTGCCGCGCCCCGCGGCTCTCAGCTGGCATGGGGAGGTGGACAGGCGCTGGGCCCAGCAGCTCTGCAGCAGGTCTGGTCCACTCACAGGCAGCCGCAGCACTGGTGGGCACTGACCAGGGATGGGGACTCTGCTGCCAGGGCAGCAGCACCCCCCCCACCCCTCGCCAGCACTGCGTCACAGTGCCCGCTGCCCCTCTCCCCACACAGGCCGGAAGAGGAGCCCATGGAGGAGGAGCCGCCCCTGTAGCCGCGGAGCTGCTGTGCTCTCCTTCGTCTGTCTCGTCTTGAAGCTCAGCAAGAGACTTGCCCGTGTCACCGCATCCTCCTGCAGCGCTCTCGCAGCGCAGGGCCACGAGGCGTGCAGCGGCAGCGGGAGGCCATCCGGGTCTGGGCGCGTGCAAGGTGACCTGCAGCGTCACTGGACTCGGGCGGCGAGGAGCGGGCCAGACACGCGCCAGCCACGTGCACCCTGGCGTGCACCCTGGCGTGCTAGGAGCCGCGAGGGACAAGGCTGTGGCAGCCTGGGCAGAGTGGCCGGGTTAGTTGACACGCAGAGAGAAAGCGGAAATCAAAGACCTAACAGTACACGACACACTTGATTAAAACTGGTGCTTAAGTTTGATTCTCACCCACAAACCCACAGTCTCCGTGTAGACACTCGGCTCATCTTGTAGCTTTTTTTTTAAGAGTAAGTTTTCTATGGCTCTGGCCCGCCTCACGGCCCGGCGGTGCGCCGCGGGGGCCGCAGGAGCCGGACAGAGTTGGACAAACCTTTCAAGAAAATAACTGGACAAAACAGAACCGTGAGCCTGGGCATCGGCTTGAGCTTCTCAAAGCCATCGGAAGATGCGAGTTTGTGCCTTTTTTTTATTGTTCTGATGGATTTTTGTGGCTGGGTTTTCTGAGTCTGAGGAACAATGCCTTAAGAAAAACAAACAGCAGGAGTTGGTGGGACCGTTTCCTGTGGGGTACAGCCTGGTGCTGGCCTGATGCTGTGAGGGCAGGTGGCAGATGCCACTGAGGGCCGAGGGCCGAGGGCCGTGGTCTGGCGGCCTTGTTTGGCTTTATTGCTGTTTAAGGAATCTGGAGGTAGTTCCAAAAAAGCGGCAAACACTGTTGGGGTTTTGAAGTCCAACAAATTTTCAATGAATCCAAAGTGTTCTTTTTCTCATACGTCATGTAGCAATTGAGCATCTCCATTCGGTTGTGAAGCATGTCCTGGGCACACCTGCAGTGTCACGGTCGGAATGCTTTTACTAAAAGCAGGTAGCATGAAGTATTGCTTAAATTTTAGGTATAAATAAATATATACGTGTATAATATATATTCCAATGTACTCCAAGCTAAGAAACTTGATTCTTATGAGATCTTGATAAAATATTTATAATGCATTTATAGAAAAAGTATATATAGAGAGAGAGATATATATAAAATAAATGCAGATGGTGACAGTCCCTGGTGAATGGAGGACCTGTGGCTGAGCTCCGAGGTGCTTAGGGGACGGTCTGGATGAACCTCATTTGGAGCCCCAGCTGGCCGGCTTTCAGGTCAGATCACAGCTCGCTCATCCCTGGGCCTTCCCTGCCAGCGTGTACTTTAATTTTAATTATTTTCTAACAGAGCCCCTCCCTCTTCAAGCCTCCATGCACATATGTACCTAATGAGTTTTTATAGCAAAGAATATAAATTTGCTGTTGATTTTTTGTATGAATTTTTCACAAAAAGACCCTGGATAAACATTGTTTTGTGAATTTTACATTTTTCCTTACCATTTAGTAGTTTTCCAAATGGTGATAATGTCTAAATATTTTTTCTTTCTAAGTTCTTGCTTGTGCTTTTCTTGACTTGGAGGTTTTTATTGTGTGTTCTGTACCGTGGGCGGAGTCTGCGGCAGGCAGACTGCTGCCACCAGCTGGCTTGTAGGAGGGGCTGAGGGTGGCACCCCGCGCCAGCCCTTCCCGGTTCTGCCCAGTTCTGCCCAGCAGCCATACAGGAAGCCAGGCTCTTTGCCTGCAGCACTAGTAGTATTACGGGGTGGTATGTGCTCCCCGGGCAGGGACGGGCCAGGCTGTGGCTCCAGCTTTCCAAAGACCTCTGAGGCACATTGGCCACTGTGGCTTGGAGCAGGCCCTGCCCCTGCAGTCCCTCTGCAGCCCTGCGGCCTGGGCCCTGGCTGGAGCAGCAGGCCTGAGGGGGCCTGAGCTGGGGAACGGAGGCCCTGTGCCTGCTGAGCTGTGGAGCATTCAGGTCCCTGAAGGGCCACCAGCCTGTGTCTGTGCTCTTTTTCTGTGACAGTAACTGACAGTCACTTTTTACTGGTAACTTATTTTCTAGCACTTGAAGCCACCGATTTCATTCCAAAGTGTGTCACATTTGGACTCCTGGGAGGAAGTTCCTGTCTCAGAAGGGCTTCTGAGTGTGGTGAAGTTTACAGGGTAGACACGCAGCCAGACTGGACTGAGTGAGTGCAGCTCCTTAGACTCTTGGTCGCTTGGCTGCTGTTGGTCAGTGTGAGACAGTGCTTGGAGAGCAGGAAGCAGGGCAGAGAGGCCTTGGGACTCATTGACTCCCCCACTCCTTACTGGCCACTCTTGGTTCTGAAGCCCTCGGGGGCAGAAAGAGCTGGTCTGCAGGGCCCAGTGGCCCTTCTCCTTTTGTGGCACTGCATGGTGACTGGGCCCAGCAGCCAGCCCTTCTGACCCCTAGGTCCACTCTCCACACGCCCCATGGGGCCCTGACACCTGCCCTCTGCTGCCAGCGAGGCTTCTGGGGGGATGCAGAGTCTCTCTGTCCTTGAGGTGATGGGACAGCTGGGCTGGCTGGTGGCAGGTTAGCACTGGAGGGGCTCACGGTCTCCTTCAGACGGAGTCGCCTCTGCCCAGAGCCTGGCCGGGGAGGTGCGTGGTTGTGCAGAAGCAGCACCAGGTAGCCTTTTATTTGGAGACACACTTGGCCCCTCTCCATGGCCAGCCCCCAGGGCAGATGGCCGAGGGTCTGCCTGGGCCTCTGGGGCAGACCACGGCAGGGAGGGCCCCTTTGTACATGTTCCCTGTCTGGTCCTTGGACCTGCCGCCTTTTTCTTCCTCTGAGAGGCCTTGGGGGGTCACTGGCCAGGAGCCCATGAGAGCACTTTACATCCCTTTAAGGGAAACCCCAATCAGTGAGGCCACCGGATGCATGGGGCCACCTGCCCTTGGGGCTTCCAGCTGCGCCATGACGTGCCCACGCCCCACCAGCAGGCCGCGCCCGCTGGGCCTGGCCGACCCTGCATCCCGGGGCTCTGGTACCTGAGGGCCACTTGTCAAAGTGTTTCAGTTTTTCTTTACTTTTAGAGTCTGTTTCCAGGAGGAAGGTCATTTTGCAGTGGTTCAGCACAGAAGCGGGCCTGCATCCTGCAGCTTAGCAGTGGACGTGTGTCCATGCTCCGGCAGAGCATGCCTTCCTTGCTGGTGACAGCCACGTGCTCATTCCATTCTTCTTTTGTAGACTTTGGGCCCACGTGTTTTATGGGCATTGATATATATATAAATATATAGATATAAATAGATGAATATATTTTTTTAAGTTTCCTACACCTGGAAGTTGCATGGACGGAACGCCAGCATGTCCTACGTTGTATACGGATTTGCACGCCAAACTCGGCAGCTTTGGGGAAGAAGAAAAATGCCTTTTTGTTCCCCTCTCATGACATAGAAATCCTTCTGTAGAACAAAACAGAACCTTGCGGGAGAGGAGAGGGGAGTTTGAGTCTCGTGGAACTTATTCTTAAAGAAATTGTACTTTTTATTGTAAGAAAAATAAAAAGGACTACTTAAACATTTGTCATATTAAGAAAAAAGTTTACCTAGCACTTGTGACATACCAATAATAGAGTTTATTGTATTTATGTGGAAACAGTGTTTTTAGGCAAACTGCAGCTTGGGGGGGGGGGGGCTGCCCCCCCCCCCCGCAGTTGGGTTGGGGGGGTTTTGTTCTGTTTTCTGTTGTTTCTTCTCTTTCCTTCCACAGGCCAGGCGTGCACTGCCCGCCACCGGCCCTGTGACCATTTGTTCTGATTGAGAACTGGGGTCTGAGGACCCCCTCTTGTGCACACGCCTGGCTGTTGTCACGGGTGGTGTGCGGCCCGGGCGGCCCGGGCGCTGGGTCGGGAGGCGTTCCCCCAGCGCCGCGTGGCTGGTTGGCTCGGCCTCACCTTGACGTTGATTAAAAGTCTCCTTCTCAAAGCAAGTGAGCAGTTCTGTTCTTTGGTGTGTGTGCTCCACGATGCAGACACGATTCTCCAGTTTGTGAGAATGACAGACCTAAGTCATAGATCCACGCACATCCACACGGAGGGAACGAGCCGGTTCACCCAAGAGCGTTTCCCAGATGTGGGTAAGCAGGCGGGGCCTGCGTGGGCTCCACAGGCCACAGCCACCGCCAGCGCCTGCCACCGTTTCCTGACTGCCTGGACCTGCCCAGGCCCCTCTTGCTTGGTGGAGCTGGACACCTTGTTTTGGGATTCTCATCCTCATTTTGTTCTGTGTGGGTGATTTTTCACGACTGCAGTGTCCTCTGACGGTCCACTTGTCTCCACCTCCTGGAGTGCAGTGTCCTATAACCCCATGCACCTGTCCCTCTTGTGGTGTAAATAAAGTCTGCATTGATGCCTGCAGCTCTGGTTTCTCCCAGTCGCGCTCGCCATGGCTCCCTGCGTCTGGGGCCTTGCTGGGCTGACTCGCCCACACCCCGGGGATCCCTGGGCCCAGCCAGGGCCCTGACCTCTGCATGGGAGGGTCCCTTGGCAGTGTCTTCGTTTTAGACTTGCAGTACCTTGAATTGGTGCACTCTACTCCCCTGAGTGGACCTGGCTGGAACAGCCTCACACGTGAATGAGGCCAGGGGAGGGTGGGGCCCAGGCCTGGCTGCTGCCCACGACTGGCACAGCTCCTCAGAGATGCGAGTCCACAGACAGCAGTCACGGCCCCCGTCCCTCCATGGCATGTCCTACTGCACAGCCCTGGGCCCCTGCATCCCAGGACTCATCAACTGGGCAGTGGAAAAGCCCAGCCACCTCTGGCCAGCCTGGGCCAGCTCAGGTGACTTCTTGTTCCAGCTGGCCCCTAGGGAGGCCTGCGAGAGGGCAGGCCTGCACTGCTGCCCTGCAGGGCCATTTCCTCTCCCTCCTCCACCCTGTACCCCAGGGGCGCTCAGCACCCGCACCTGCCCCCAAGTCAGTCTCCTCAGAAGCTCAAGAGGCCACACTGGAGCTATGGGAGCAGAGCTGCCCAGGTGGCCTCCACGCAGCCGGACGCCCAGCCCTAGTGGCCCAAGGCCACAAGTGCAAGAGGCACCGCTGGCAGCTTAGGCTGCCAGACTCGGCCGTGGGCTTCACCTGCCCTGCAGCAGGTGAGGCGGGGCCTGGCCAGAGCCTGTGCGAGGCCACAGGGACTCGCCCCGAATGGACTCACTCCGTGGCGACCTCTGTGTCCACAACAGGCTGAGGGGAGAGAGCCCTGAGTCCCGCTCAGGCACTCGGCTTCAGACGCCGTCCCCTCCTGACTCCTTCTGGGTGGGATGGAACCCAGGGCCTGGCTCATGCTGGGCAAGCCCTCCTCCCGGGCCCCCAGCCCTTCTCACCGTCTAAAGGGCTGGCACGGGGCCCCACGCCCAGCCCCTCCCAGGCCCCCTGCCCTGGGAAGGGCGAGTCCACCTCTGGTCTTGCACTTTGGCACACTTCTCCCCATAAAAGCAAAGCCTGGTGTGTTTTCTGAAGCTTCGCCACGGGGTGGTGCCGTGGTGCCTGTCTGCAGCTCGCGAGGCTGCTGCTGGCCTGTGCTCAGGGTGCCCTCCAGGTGCTCGGCCTTCACCAGGTGGTAGCCACAGCGGGCGACTCCCTCCCAGTCGCCCGCCAGTGACCCCAACACTGTGTTCCTCCTGGAGCACGGCCGGTTCCTCCGCACCACGACACCCCTGTGCCCAGCAAGGTCGCCCTCCCTGTGACCAGGCCCCTCCCCACTCCTACCACGTGGGTGGGTTGGACCTGGAGTTGTCCCTGTGGGTCACACTGACCACCACGAGGCCTGAGACTCCGGCCAGTCTGGTGAGTGTTCTTTGCTGTTCCGGTTTACAGCTCACATGGCCGTGGAGGGAGGGCCAGCCACCCCTTGCTGCGTGACAAACTACCCCCAACTCCAGGGCTTCCAGCAGCAGATGCTGGGTGTTTCCGAGGTCTGAGTGGCCGGCCGGTCCTCTGGTGGGGGAAGGCCCCTCGTGCAGCCCCAGGGTGGCGGCAGGTTCTCTTTCCTCGCCAAGCGGGCATCCCACAGGCCACCGCCCAGCGTGGCCACAGCACGTGATCCATGAGAGAGCACCTGGTCAGAACTACTGTCTGTGTCACCAGACTTGAGAGTGACATCCGTCACCCCTCGTGGCTGGGAGAGACTGCCCTCTCCCAGGCAGCCGTCCTGTGGCACCAACACCAGGAGGACCGCGGGCACGGTTTCAGGCTTGTGCATCTCATCTGCCAGCTCTGCCTTCAAGATGTATCATAGTTCCCCTGGCCACATGCCCTCTCTGTGCTGTGGCCCTGCGACCCCCGCCTGGCCCTGCCACTGACACCCTTGACTCTGAGCAGGAACCCAGGACCCTGCTGTAGCCTGCAGACCAGTCACCCAGCCTGGACCCAGCCCTGCAGAGGCCAGCCAGGCTGCCTGCTCGTCTGTCTGTCTCACCTTCTAGAATGTCAGTCCCTCCTGTCCCCAGAGAGCAAGGGCATCAGTCAGCCTGTCCTGTGAGCCTGGGCCCCATCTCTAGCCCCGTTGACCTGGTGGTTTGGAGGCTAGTCCTCTGCCCACCGGGTTCTCAGATTCTTACTGGCTCCCACTTTGATGGAAAGGCGACGCTCTGGCCAGGCAGCCCTCAGAGGCCCCTTTGGTCTCATGAAAAGATGGGGAGAGAGTTAGAGGACATCCGCCCCGGGCTGCGGCCGGGTGATCCCAAATCTGTGTGTGGTCCGTCCCCCCTGATGAAGCCATCGCAGCTACGGCCACTTTGGAGAAGACAGGTTCCCACCATGTGCGTTCATCTGGTCCCACGATGTCCCAGCAGAATGTCCGGGAGCAGTCTTCCCTGCAGCAGGAGCCCCGCTGGCCACACAAGAGCAGCTCTGTCCGTCCACCAGCTGGTAATGGAGGGGGGACATGGACTTGGTCTGCCGAGGCACCCGTCCAGATAGCCCAGGCAGATATCCAAAGGAGGAGCCACCAGAGGCCCCGGTGCCCTCCTGCTGCCTCCTCCCTCTGCCTCCGCTACCCCCACTCCTGTCCCCTCCCACCCTCCAGCTCTCTCACTGCCCCACAGTGGCCGCTCCCCTAGAACTGACCGGTGGTGTCAGCCAAGAAGCTGAAGCTGGTAACTGAACCCAGGTCCTAACAGCGACCAGCTCCGAGCTTCAGGTAGAGACTCGGTAAAACACCACCCCTCAAAACCCAGGGTGCGTTCCCAGCTGCAAACAGCCCGAGCTCCAGGGTGGGGCTCGTGGACCCTGAGAGCCCGTCTATGCCTGCAGCCACCTGCTGGCACCTGCCACTCAGCCCCACCTGCAGCAGGACCAGAGAGGTCCGGGGTGCAAACAGAAGGTACACTGGGGGACCGTGGGGGAGAAAGGGGACACTGACACTTCACACCAAGTGTCGGCATGAATCCCAGCACGTCCGACATGCGACACAGAGCCACCCGCATGTTCTGAAAGCAGGCTGCAGGCACACTGCCCTTCTCTCCACTGCAGGACCGCGGCAGGTTTGAAAGGAGCAGAGGACGTGGCCGACAGAGTGGGCACTGGTCAAAGCAAGTCCAGAGCCGAGGCATGTGGCTGGGTCACGCCTCGAATGGCCCAGTAAGGCCAGAGGGCTGGGGGCAAGGTGGGTGGGACAGATTGGCCACAGCTGGTGACTCGTGGCCAGGTGACACTGGGGCTTCATGATACTGCTGTCTTCTTCCACGTTGCTTGAGATTTTTCACACAAGAAAGAGGCCACAGAAATGAGGAATTGATGAGGAGAACATGGGCAGATGTGACCATAAAGCACAAATGTGTCTCAGGGGACTTAATGACGGGGTCTGAGTGAGTGACGTCCACCAAGCCCAGCAGGAGCCGCACAGCAGGACTCGTGTTTTCAGCCCGAGAGACGTTTGTGTCAATCAAGTGGAGTCAGGGACAAGCCTCACCATGAGACGTGCTGAGACACCCTGCTCAGAGCAGCAGCCACGTCCAGAGGTTTGCAGGGCAGTGTCCCCACAAGACACCTGTCACAGGGTGCCCAGAACCTTGCGTGGCTGTGCCAGCCTGGGTACACTCCCAGGCAGTCCCCAGGACATGAGCCTGCAGAAGGTGATCACTGTGGCATTCCTTCCTGAGAGCCTGGACCCCCCAGCAGATGTCACCCTCAGGGGCTCAGTGGCAGCCTGGCAGCCTGGCAGCCTCACCAGCTGTGTCCGGTGAGATTCACGGGCTCCTCTGTGCCCCAGCCTGTCGGAGGGCGTGCACACGTGCAGCCTGAGCGGTTTTAAGGAGCTCCGCCCTCAGGGCACCTGCTGGGCCACAGCAGGGTGCCTGGAGTCCTGGCCTCCCTCCGCGAACCGCACCTTCCCCGGTTCAGGACCGGTGCTTTGCTCCCAGTCCCCGGTTCCCGGTTCACGTTTCCCGCGTCCTGAGAGCGCTGTTCCTTGTGGGGGGCGGGTGGTACTCCTGAGGGAGGCAGTGCCTTCCAGCTCCCGGGGTCACAGACTGAGCTACGGTTGGGGTTGGCCTGACCCTGGGGCTCAGGGCAGGGGCTGCCCGGAGCTCACTGGCCTCCTCTGGACCTCTGGCCCCGCAGGCTCACACACCCAGGGCCACTCCCAAGGGCGGCCCTTCTCTCCCCACTGGGAGGCCCCTGCCAGGACATCAGAGTGGACCCAGTGGGGGTCACAGCTCATGGGAGGCCATCTCATGACCGTGGGTCTCCAGGGGAGTCTGGGGGCTTCAGGGTCCCGGCCCCTCAGCACTGGGTGTGAGGCTCTCTGGGAGAGGCTTGGAGCCATTGTCAGGCCCCAGGGCAGCCCCCGGCAGCTCAGGTTGGCCCCAGTTCTCTGTCCTTGGTTCCCCAGCCCTGACCGCCCACTCCCTGGACCTCCCCACCTCCTGCCGAGGCCCGTGTGCCAAGGACTGGCTGGTCGCCTCCCAGACCCAAGCAGAGCACTCAGGGAGCTCCCAGCCAGGGCCAAGCTGTGACCCTCAGCTCAGAAGACCCCACCCAGCCCAGCACACCTCTGTGTCACTGGATGACCTTCTGTCCTATCGAGACTACAGAGCTGGGACAGTCCCCAGGAGCCCGGCTGGACTAGACTGGTAGACAGAGCCATCCTTGGAGCTGAAACCACGGAGACACCAAGGCTACAGTCCACGTTGAGCTCTGGGACCCAGCAGGAGCTGAGACTGGGTTGGGCAGGAAGCAGGAGCGGAGTGGATGGGTGCAGCTGAGAGCCAGGCAGCGCCTGCACCCTTCCTGGTGGCTGGGCAGTGCCCTGGGTCCTGCGGGTGGGTACCACGAGGTTCCTGTGGGCTCCTCAGGCAACTGAATGCCAGTCAGGGCCGGGCAGAGGCTGCAGGCGGAGTAGGGTGTGGCCGAAGCCC